CGTCCGCCCCCCCCCCCCCCCCGCCCTACGACCCCTGCACGAGCTCGAGCGCGCCCTCCGTACCCGCGACGCGCTCGAGCCGCATCCAGTCATAGCGCGAATACAGCACCTGGCACGTCACGTCGGCCGCGTCGACGCCCTCGTCGAGGAACGGGAAGGAGAGCAGCTCGGTGTAGAACTGCGCGTGGTCGGGCAGGCCGTAGAAGACGAGATTGCGGATCCCGCGGATCTTGTACCTGTCGTTGGGCCCGGTTACCGTCCGTCAGTAACGGAGCACGGAGCAACGGAGCGAACAAGGCGTAAAAAAGGCACTGACCGCCGGAAGAAGTGGAAACGCTCGGAGATCAGGAGGAAGGCGGACGTGCCGGCGAAGAAGGACTGGCGGGCGCGGGAGATGTCCTGGTTGGAGGAGTATCTGCACGTCGCGTCGTCCGTCAGAAGACGAGATACAAGACGAGGTAAACAGGAAAAAAAAATGAGATGCATACTCGGACAGGACGGCGAACGACACGCCGACGTTCTTCCTAAAGTGGTTTTGAACGCGGATGAAGTCGAACGACGAGGGCACGAACACGGCCGTGTTCGCGCTCTGCACCGCCGACTTCAATATCGCCGGCAGCATCTGCGACCAAAATATCGAGAAAGTCAGCTCCGACGTTCCTCCGCAGCTTTTGAGAAAAAAACAGATGTCGCGCGCCTGGGTGGTGAAATACTGGAACCGGCGCTCGACCTCGTCCTCCGGCCCGCCCGCCTCGAAACGAACGAATCGCACGCTCCTTTCGAGCCCCGCCGGGACCGGGACCGGCGCCCACCGCCGCTCCGTCCTTCCTTTACCCGCGACGTTCTTCAGCTCGGCGTTATACAGCCGCCGCATCTCCGGGGTCTCGTACGGCGAGAGCAGGATGGACTGGCGGAGATAGGCGGCGTGCCCGTCGAGGTACCACGGCTTGATGCGCGAAAAGTCGGCGTCGTGCGACTCTTTGGGCATCTTGTTCATATGACCGAGGACGAACTGGAAAAAAGTCGGGTGGGGTCAACGGGCGTCGAGACACGCCAAAAAAAACCAGTAATCACGAACCTGGACGTGATCCCAATTTTGCATCGTGAGCGCGTCCATCTGGTCCACGACGAGGATCTCGATGGACGACAAGAAGTCGGCGCTCCTGCAGCAGAAAACGCACTGTCAGACCTCGGGGGGACAACGCGCGAGCGCGATCCATCGCGTCAAAAAAAGAAAAAAAAAACGCTCACTTTTCCTTCTCGATCGACATCCGGAGCCCGAGCGGGCTCGCCACGATCAGGTCGCACCCGTAAAACTCGGCGAACAGCCTCACGCTCTTCCTCGTCACCTTCACGCCCACCCTGAAATTATCGTCGACGTTCCCCCGGAACATCTCGACGTGGTCCGCGGGGTACGTCCCCGGCGCCGCGCTCGCGAGCTTGTCCACGGCGCCCTCGGGCAGGTCGAACTCTTTCAGGAAGCGGGCCAGGTTCTCGACCTGGTAGGCCGGGACGGGGGTGTGCGCGGTGAGGGCGCGGATCCAGGCGAGCGCGTGCGCGCGGAAGGGGGTGAGGAGCAGCACGGAGGGACGGGTGAAGCCTTGGTCTTGCACGTCTTCTGGCGGCGGCTTGCCGTCTTTCGTGGCGTGCGCTAGGCGCTCGTTGTTTTTCAGCACTCGCCGGCGTTTTCTGAACAGAGTGAGAGCGGTGGTCAGCATGTGGACTAGGGGGCGAGGGGACAAGGAAGGATGAGCGTACTTGGTGATGTGGTTGAGGGCGTGTAGGGCGATGGCTTCTTGCGTCGGTTTGCGGAGCGGGAGGGAGGTGGAGGCGAGGAAGAAGTCTTGGGAGGCGGAGAGGGCGGAGAGGAGATCGTTTTGAAACTCGCGATGTTCGGCGGGAAGCTTGGATTGACGTTCCGCAAAAGGAGTTTTGAGTCTGTCGAGGAGCTTTTCGTGCGTGGGTTATTATAACGTTTGTGGAAGCAAAAGCGGGAACGTACGTACGTGCGAGGGCGATGGGCTGGGCGAAGAGCCTTCTGGTGTCGAGTAAACGACCTGACCGAGCTTTCCGCGTTGTGAGCGCGACGTTGTCCATGCTCCCCGGTCTACGGATGCTCTCGTTTCATCGGTGAGCTCCGCCGAATGGGCGCCAAAGTGTCGTTCGTAAGGGTCGACGCCGTCTCCTCCTGCGCATCACGCTGTATCTCAGATGAACCCTTTGATTCGCCTTTTGATGGACCGCGTACCTGTCGGGTCGTCCTCTTCTTCTACGCCTGCCTCCGCGCTGGCGCCCTCTGATACTCGCGGCTCGACGGCAGTTTTCGGCGCATCCTCCTTCGCCTTCGCCTTCGCCGTCGAACCGGCATCTTTCTCGACCGCATCGCTCAATTCGGACACGTCGTCGAAAGCGGCGAAAGCGACCGACGACCGCTTCTTGTTCAGCTTGACGGCCGGCGAAGCAGCCTCGAACGCGCGTTTGCGCTTGCCGGCCTTGACGGCGGAAACGTTGAGCAGCGTGAGCAACTTTGTCGTCGTAAAGTCGGCGGCCTCCATGGTATCTCGTCCACGCAGTCGCAATCAAAGTCCGCAGCTGGCGCAGAGAGCTGACAGTTGCAGTATATCAGGAGTTCAACGCAAGATGGAGGCAAGATGGAGGTGCTAACGCCGAGCGCAGAGCTTCAGTCTTCAGGAACGCCCAAAATTCCCGCTTAGCACAGCCACAGATGGACCTCCGGTTCGCACGGGAACCGCGTGCCAAGACAGAAAGGGCGGGTGCTTGAGACGGACGAGACGGTCAGCGTCTGATACCACGTACTCGTCAATTGCGAAACCGCCTGCGCAGTCGTGTACGGATCTCGGAACAATGCAATCATGCTCGACGTCGGACGTGCGCAGCCCTCCGCAAGCCTTTGATGCCGCCCGTGGAGGGAGAGGAGCGATTAGTCGACTCGGGGCCATTATGGCTCGTTCTTGGATATAAATCCATCGACATTGCTGGGCCATCTACTCAATCCTCAGGCCTCTCCGCCTCCTCGCAGCCCATCGGAACCAGTCGTGTCCTCGAGAGTCGACGGCCGAGCTCAGCATGTCGCTCCTCCGCAAGGTCCTCCACAAGAACAGCGAGTCGAGCGGGTTCGACGCGCCCAAGGCCCTCACCTCCCGCGCGGGCGTGAAGGCCTACGCCGCCTCCGTCAAGTCCTCCGCCGGTGGCACCATCCGCTCCGTGCGCTCCGTCGCCGAGTCCGTCTCCAGCTTCTACACCGCCCTCACCGGCGGCACGCGCGTCCCCAAGCGCCGCCGCCCCGACGTCTCCCGCCTCGGCGCGCCCAAGTTCTACAAGCGCGATCCGAAGCCGCCCCCCGACGCGCCGGGCGCCAAGGTCGTGGACGCGGCGACGGCGGGCCCGCTCACGGCCGCGCACGGCATGTCGTTCGCGACGCCCGGGACGGATAAGGCCTGGTGCTCCGTCGTGCTGTATAGCCACGCGAAGGTGACGGACCCGTATCCGGTGTACCATGCCAGAGGTGAGCGAGCGGACTAGGAAGTTCGTGTTGGGCCGGAGACGTGGGCTGACGGGAAAGGTCGGGGCCAGCGACGGTCCAGGGCGAACTGCGACTGAAGATCGACGAGCCCGCGCGCATCGCCTCGATAGACGTCTGGGTACGTCGTTCGATCCCTACACCTCCGAGAGATCAAGGCGTGTCCCGCTCATTCTCCGCGCAGCTTGTCGCAAGCAGCGCGTCCGTATTTGACCTCGCGCTACCTCCGTTCATCAACGCCCGCGCAAACTTGTGGAAGCGAGAAGACGGCGATCCAATCACGCCTTCTGTGAACGAAGGGCGCGGGCCGACGTTCAAGGGGACCTTCCCCCAAGGAACCTACGTCTTCGTGTGTGCTCACTTCCCGCTCGCATCCTTGCGCCCCCTTCGCTGACATTTTCTCCCGCTCGTTCAGCCCTTTGAGTTTCCCGCTCTCCCTCGAGACGTAGAACAAGACCAGCAGGACCACCGCGTCAACCAGCCCAAAAAGACGCGTCTGCTGTTACCGCCCACTCACGCGATCAACTCCAACATCGGCGGTGTCGGCAAAGCCACCGGGCACATACGGTACGTCCTAGTGACTATTACTACACAGACGCGTCCTAGGCTCGTGACCGCGAACCCGTGTTTCCCCCCCTCGCTCCAGGTACCAAGTGGGAGTCAACATCCGCCGCGACGGCCTTACAGACATGAACGAAGAGTACGCGACATATTTATCCCCCTTGCTACGCGAACGCCAGTCCGCTGATCGCTCATTCCGCGAAGCTGGTTCTTCCCGATCAAGTATCTACCCCGCGCGCGCCCGATCCCGCGCCAACCGACGCCGTTCCCGTTCCTGCCCACCAAGGAGGACTGGCCCTTCTCCCGCGAAGAGGCGAGTCCTAATCTTCGCGGCGCGTGAGACATTGACACGAAAAAACAAAAAAAAAACCTCGTCTTTGCCTCAGGTGGGCGGTTGGACGCTCTCGCCGTTCGGCGGACGCGGTCGGTTCCGCGACGCGATGGTCGAAGTGGAGGGCATCGTAAGATCGACCCCATATTCCTCTCTCGGCACCATCATATTTATTATCACCGATCCCACCAATCGGGGGTCTCTTTCCAGCTCGGGGTACAAGCCCCCGAAGTCTACGCCCCGGGCCAGACGCTCCGCTTCGGCCTCCTCCTCTGGTGCACGGACCGCGCCGCGCTCGACGCGCTCGCCCATCCGGACTCGATCCAGGTCCGGTTCCTGAAAGCGGTCCTGTTCGGCCTCGACGTGCTCGAGCCGCACCACTCGGCGCGCAAGAACCGCGCGCTGAAGCCCGTCGGCGAGCCCGGCCGGGTCTGGCGCGCGGACGAGGGCGACGCGGCGGCGGCGGCGGTTGCGGTCCGACAGCCCAAGGGTACAGGCGCCGCCCGATCCCCGGCGCCGGCGGGACGCTCCCGGATGGTCGAGTTGTACAGCGCGGCGGCGGACGAAACGGAATCGGATGACCTCACCGCTCTCACCGACGGCCCGTCCATCTCCGCATCGCGCGAACCTCCATCCGCGGCCTCTAGCCCGCCCGCGCCCGCCTCCCCCTCCTCCTCGGAACGACCGCGCTCGCCCTCTCCCACACCCTCGTTCGAGGACGTCGACGACCCGGACGACGACGACGAGCCGAGCCACACCGTCCGGCTCGACGGCTCGGTCGTCATCCCGGCCGACCTCCGCCCGCCGAGCTACAGGTGGAAGTACCAGGGGATCGAGTACCTCCTCCACCTCACCGTCACCCACCCCGAGTACTCGCACGTCTCGCCCCGCGCGACGGGCATCCTCGCCGAAGCCCCCGTCTGGCTCGTCACGGATCCGCCGCTGACCGCTGCAGGCGGCGACGACGACCCCGACGCCTCGAGCGCCGGGCCGGTCGCGCTGGAGACGCTGCCCAAGACCGGCTCCGCGATCCCGCTCCCTCCTGATTGCGTTCGCAGGCCGAAGGTGATAGGCGAGGCGACGAACCAGGAGCGGCCGAGCAAGTTTGGCAGTCGGGATTGGTCTTACATGTAAATGTAATCAATACGGAGAGCACGAGGCGATACGATGACGAAAGTCGTGGGTGAGGGCTAGGCTAGAGGGATGTTTATGTACTGTATATTAACACATATTGAGAGCGCTGTATTAGTAACGTTAACGACCGTGTCGGGCTACACATATAGGCGGAGGTATGCGCTCTACTCGTCGGCAGCGGCAAAGGTGGATTTCTTGGACCGCGAGCCCGACGCCTTCCTGGTCCCACCTCGTCCTCCGTTCGTCTTTCCACCGCGCGAGCCTTTGCCCCGCTTGCTGGACGAGGACGCCGTGGAGGAGGTCCGTCGCCCTGCTCCGCCACTTATAGGGCATGCTGTCGATGGGTTGAGCGTCTCGTAGACTGGGATAGTAGACAAGGGCACGGACTATTAGCGTAGTGACCTTCCATGCCACACTTGCTGCACCTTCTTTGCCCCCTGGTTTGGGCAGTGCTCTTGACCCCACCAGGGCCAGGGCAAGCTAGCGAGTCGTGGGGTCAGTTATGCGGACATTCCTCATCGGCAGCGCGCACCGTTGCTGTAATGACCCTCCTCCCCGCACTTAAAGCACGCTCCGTTTCCTCCGGAAGTTGGGTTACCTTGCAATCCGGCGCCTTCGTTCTGGCAATCTTTGTGAGATCGGTGAGTCTAGATGTACGCGTAAACAGGGCAGCGCAGGACTGACTATTGGCCCAGTGGCCCTCCTGACCGCACTTGAAGCACCCGCCTGTGTGTGGGGGCCCGCCGCCTGGTCTGGAAGACACGCCGCCGTCTCCGGGATTCGGACAGGCTGATAAAAAGAGCGCATTCAATACGAAGACGAATGCGAGCAAAAAGGATCCAAGTCGCACCGCTCGCCCAGTGGCCCTCGTTCCCGCACCTGTAGCAGGCGTTGCCGCTCCCAGCACCGGAGGACGCCACGTTCAAGGTGGGCCCCACGTCCCTTAGCGGTTCGTCGTCCCACTCAAAATACTGACATCGCGCCTTCTCGGAATTCGGGCACGACCAGAACACTCTGTCCTTGTTCGCCCCCTCTTTCCTCACCGTCTTCGCCACGGCCGTCAGGTCGCACTTGCATAGCCGCTTGCGTTCTGTGCCATCTACCGGCTGCGATACGTGCGGATGAGAGAGCTATACCACAAAATCCCAAAAAAATGCCTGCTCACGTCGGGATACGGGCGCTTGGCCGGGATAACCGACGTCGGCGGGGGAGGCGCAGCGCGGGCCCGAGGCGCGGGGAGCGAAGGGGTTGACGGTCCGTCGGCCCATTCCCAGAACTCGCACTTGTCTTCGGCGCACTTACGGAATCGCCTCCCCTTGTTAGCGGACTCCTTCGTGACCTCGCGCTCGAGCGACGGCACCCCGCATTGACAGTACACCTCGACCGAGGAGCTCGATGGGGGCGGGGCGGGTTTCTTCGGTGGGTCAGCGCGCGAGGCTGGCGCCTTGCGCTTGGATGCCGGTGGTAGTGGTGGTGGAGGAGCTGCAGGGTAATCTACCGGAGCACGGTTGTAGATAATGTGCAGCTAACCAGGAAACACGAATCTCTCACCGTCATCTGGTTCGTCAGGTGGTGGAGCTCGTCCTCGTGCAGAAGGAGGGCCGCCGCCACCACCACCACCGCCTCTCCGGTTCCGGGCGGGTCCCCCTCCACCTCTGTTACCAGTGGCCGGTCCTCCTCCTCTTCCTCCTCCTCCTCCTCCTCCTCCTCCTCCTGCTCCGCCTCCGCCTCCGCCTCCGCCTCCGCCTCCGGGCGCAGGATCATCACTGTTGTGATTCAGATTCTGCCGGACGCTCTGCAGTTTTATCCGTCGATAACCTGTCTCCGAGGCAGGGTAAAGTGTACGCACGTCCATGACCCTGTTGAAGTCGCGTTTTGCTCTAATAAACATGTCCTTGTACTGCTCAATATTCTCCGCGAGCATATCTTGCTTAGTCTTGCGCCGCTCACACACTTGAACCATGTTACGCTCCGTCTGCAAGGACCGCCATCAGCTAGGGTTCTGCCAGCATTCGCGGCTAAACTGACCTCTCGTCTGAGCTGCGGTTTGTCCAGACTGCGTTCGAAGCCGATCTGGCTGTACCCCTCCACCAGCCCGAGACCGAGAGTGGACGGAAGCAGATACTTGGTCGATCCCTCCATACGCTCCACGACGTACTCGCGCTCGATCACCTTGTGTATGTGCTCAGCGATCGTCGCGTCCGTCCCTGAAAACGGAGGTCCCGCGCGTGGTCAACAAATGCGCACGGTGACACAAAGTTGGCAAAGCGCACCGATCCCGTTCTTGTCCATGAGTCCGACGAGGTCGGCTTCGGTCAGATAATGCGGCTTGGACGTCTCGCCATCTCGGAGCTCGCACACGCTCGGCTGGAACTGTTCGCCCTCTCGGAATTCGGGTAGCTCTTTGCCCGTCCACTTGTCGTACGGGTACACGAGCAGGTAATTCCTCTCAGTCACCACCAAGCCTGCAGTAGCGATTCGTCTTCAGAACGCGCTCTTGTATTGTATTGACGGACAGTAGAGAGCACGCACCGGTGGCGGAAAACTGCTCGCCGCCGTACTCAACGTCGACCGTCGTCTGCCAGCCCTCGGCGTCCTTCGAGCAGCACGCGAGAAAGCGGCGGGTGACGAACTCGTATACCTTCTTCTCGTCGCCGGCGAGGTTGGCGGCGTGGGCGGTGGGGTGGATGGGCGGGTGCGCCTTGTCATCGTGCTTGCCCCTTCGCGGTGTGGCAAATCCGCCTCCTTGGAGCCTAACAATAAAGGGGGACATGTCAGGAGGAGACTTCCGCAAATCATCACGAAGCAGGAGCTGACTGAGTGGCGAATTGACCCCAGGCAGGATCGACGGTCTGCTTCTGGATCAGGCTCATGAAGTCGAACTGGCGGTCAAATTGATCGGTCTCCGTTCTTGGGTAAGAGAGGAAGCCTTGTTGATACAGCTTCTCGGCGATCTGAATACATACATCAGTGTATGATCAAGAGGCAGAAGAACTCATAATTCTGGTGCACGTACGTCAAGGACCTTTTTTGGGGCCATCCTGAGCAATCTTGAGCCGGCCTTCTGCAACTCGACCGTCGTCAGAGGAAGCGGTTTCCTGGAAGGACACATGAGCCTCACACAATCCCAGCCGCCTGTCGAAAGGGGGGGGGGGTAATCAAGGCTCACCATTTCTTCGTAGCCTTCTTCGTGACTTTCGTAACTGTCGCCAACCGATCGGTGAGCACGCCCTCGTACAGCGTTAACGCGAAGTCGTAGTCAAAGATGTGTCCGCGCTTCCACGTGAATTGGATTTCGTCGCCTTCGCGCCGTAGCGCGAAGTAGATGTACCAAAACGTCTCGGGTACGAAGGCTTTGACTTGCTTGTAGCGCGCGACGACGAAGCCGAGCGTCGGAAACTGACACGGACCTATGTCAATCTGAGAGGTTAGATGGTTCGAAAGTGGAGGCTAGAGACGCCTGACCGTACGACACAGTGTCCTTGATCTCTGCGAAACTTCGTTGAAGGGCGAACGTCTGCATGCGGGTGAAGCTGGCACCGATGCGAAGGTCCAGAATGATGCGCGCTTCTACGGCGTCTGCCTGCGCCTGGTCGAGCTCAACGGGATGCTGCGCCGCATTGTGAATCTGCCTTGAAAAGAAAAAAATCCCCTCGTGAGCCCTTGCAATTCCGGATGCGGGCTCCGACCCGGGACATACTGCGCGATTACGGCACTAAACCTGGCGCGCTTGACGACTATGCGGGGATTCGCCTTGACGCAGACGGCAGCGACCTCGGAGCCGATGTGCTCTCCTTCGCGATCGCAATCGGTCCAGATCATGAGCTGCTGTGCGCGTCGCGCCTCGGCGGAGAGGTTTGAGACAATGCTGGCGTCAGAGGCTTTGGTTTGCACGGGGGCGTCGAAGAGCGCGAACGGATTGCAGCTCCGCCAGCCGTAATCGGGGGGGAAGTCGTGCTCCATGAGGTGGCCCGAGACGCAGGTCATGGTCATCGTCGCGTTCGCTTGGGGATAGTCAAAGTCATAATTCTTGATGAACTTGTTCCGGGTCGCGCGCTGCACCAGATCGGGATTGAGTCCTTGTAAGGCGCAGGATGAAGGCGTGCGACGTACTGTGGTATATCGACCGCCTGAAAGTATCACTGCAAGTGAACGGGACATGGAGGGCTTTTCGGCTACGCAGAGTATATGCATCTCGCGTCGTGAGCACCCAGAATGCCGGTGATATATCGCTGGCCGAATGCGTTGAGGTGATACGCGGGCCCAGAATCGAATTAACTTTGTTCGTCCTGCGACTCTATGCAATGTAGAGGAAGCAAGCAATTTGTTAAGATGAAAGCAAAGAATATGCAGCGATTCATTCGTTGACTAGCTCAACATCGGCTGTCGACCAGAAGGAGCTCAGTAAACCTTGAGCTTCAAAGAGTTCGCCGCGACGCGGTGCGCGAGCGTGTTCTTGTCACGTGCGGTCATCCACGTGCTCTGCCCCGAATTAAGCGCCGGTCTTGATGGGTTGACCGCAGGGGCGACCGTCAGAATCGGAGAGAACGTGGTCCGCGTTTCTGTACTACTCCTGGTCTTGAATGATGCCCGGTAACGGCGTGGAACAGAACTAGGAGATCCGTAACGCCTTCGGCTCGTTTAGGGGCTGTTTCCTTATCAATCGCCGGCATCCCAGACCCATGAACGACTCACGAAGGCGCTGCGGACCCGGCGTACGACCATCATGAGCGTCGATCTTCACTCAGGCGGCGAGAGCGCAAGCGCAAGCAAAAAACGCAACGGCCGCTGGAAACGTTCGGCGCAAGTGTGCACCAATTGCCGCCAGGCAAAAGTGCGCCGTGAATTCCGCGATTGCTGAAGGGGTCGTGCTGAATTTCGACTTATCTCAACTCCATCGTTCTAGTTACGCTGCGACTACCTTGAACGCTTTCCACAACCATGCACGCGATGCGCAAGCTCGTCAGACTCGCGCCCGTGCCATGTAGACCCAGCGTATAAACGCGTGAACACACGAAGGTTGCTATATCGAGCTCGTATGACCTCACGCGACGGCAGGCTGACTCTCGCCAACCTCCAGAACAACGCCCTTCTCTCCTTCTGCAAGCGTCCCCGTAGAAGACAACCCATCTACGTCAAGCACGACCCCTCCGACCATATACTCTACCGGCATTATCGAGGGGGACACCAGTGAGTGTTCTTCGGCAACAACCCTCGGCAGCGTTGCCTAAAGCTCCTTGTCCCAGGCGCCACCACCTCCGTCGCCAATGTTACAATCGGCGCGTCTCTACCTCGAATAGCGCCCCGACCGCCCCCAGCGCCTTCGCACATGTCCGCGGGTGTGAAGACCCTGGGCAACGTGTGCATGACCGACGAGGAAGTCCACGCGTGCTTTCAGGAGTAAGTGGCTAGTTCATGTGCGCTTGCCGGCTCCGTCTGTGCTAATATGGCATTGAGCACAGGTTCTTTCAGTTCTACCATCCGTTCTGTCAGATCTTGCCTGGTCCTGTTGAACCTCACGCGACGTTCGCGAGGAGCGAGCTTCTTTTCTGGGCCATCGTTTCGGTGGGCTGCAGACCGCGGCCAGACCACCCGCTCGTGCGAGCCCGATCTCCGGAGCTGACATTTGATCTCAATGACGGGGTCAAACAGCTCATCGCGGCGCTCATGCTGAACAGCAAGCACTCCGTGGCACAGATCCAAGCTCTGCTGATACTTTGTCAATGGCCCTTCACCACTACACAGAAGGGCAGCATCACCACGTCATGGGTGCGTGTTTCCGTTTTTCTTTACCATGCTATGCTGCTTACGCTTTTCTGCTCCTCGCGCTCGCGTGCAGAAATACTCAGGCTTGGTCTGTGACTTTCACCGGCGCTCGCCAAGACATTCTATAGGCGCTCGCTGACGACTCCCCCTGGACTTTAGGCCATTCAACTGGGCCTGCTCCTCGGCCTACACCGCCCTCACTTCGCCGCCGAGTTCTCCGGACCGTTGTTCGCTGCGGAACCAATCGACCTCGCGGAGCGCTCCCGCGCCTGGGTGCAGTGCTACTACATCCACCAGGCGCTCGCGACGATGATGGGCCTCCCGTCCTGCCTCACCGACGACTGGGTCACCTCCACCGTCGCGCAGTCACGCGAGTGCAACGTGGAATGGTTCCGGTCCTTCCATCCCGACATTTCTAAGCTGCTTCGCATCCAGCGCTTCTCCCAGCGGCTCTCGACCGTGCTCGGCAACGACGCGCACTCGCAGTCGGGACAATACGATGCCACCGTCGCGCCCGCGTTGCTCTCACTCCTCAACGCCGAGCTCGCCGACATCGAGCGCGGGCTCGCACCGATGAGTCCCGTCGTATCCGTCAGCTTTTTGAACGCGAAGCTGCAGCTGCATACGTACGCGTTTCAATCGGACATTGTGCGCGCATCGCCGCAAGACCTGCTCGCGTGCTACTCGACTTCAATGCGCGCGATCGGCATCCTGCACGAGCTCACGCTCTCGCGCGACACCGCCGCGCTCTTCTGGCCGCAGTCCGTGTACCAGACGTTCGTCATCGCGACGGTAGGCCGTTCATCCCTGCCAGCGACGGAGATTCGTACTGCTCGCTCACGCGGATTGCGTTTGCTCAGCTCTCGCTCGTCAAGCTTGCAAGTATACAGGCCCTTCACCCGCAAAAGGTCCCTATCAACCGCGACGTCGTTCTCCGCGAAGTCCGAACCGCCTATGCCATCGTCACGGTACGTGCCTTGCATTCTCTGCTCTTCGTTCTCCTGCTTACGGTTATTTCCCTCCTCCAGTCGCGCTCCGTGACGAAAGATGATGGCGCAGACCGCGTCGGAAAGCTGATCCACTTCCTCGCGAAGAAGCTCGCCGGCGCGGCCCCGCCCGACCCGTCCGAGCCAACGTTCACCTTCCGCTCCCGCATGAGCCTTGGCAACCTCCTCTTCGACGCGCACTATCAGATGAAACGCCATAACGGCGAGCCATGGCTCAAGGACGGGCCCGTCGTTGACTCCCAGCACGAGGATCGCATGCGGGCGCACCGCGAACACATCGAGCGCGAGGAGACCGCCGCGCGCGTTTTGGCGGGTATGGACGGGCTGACGGCCCAGGGACCAGGTCAGGGACATCAGGACGACGGATCGCCCGCATCCGTGATGTATGACCCGGACGCGCTGATGAACACATTCGAGGATTTTGCGTTTATGTCGGAGATGTCGACGTGCGGAGTAGAGTGAGTCGATCGATCGATGGTCGTGCTCGTTCCGTGGAGCTAATGCTTCCTCGCAGGGGCTTGTCGGCGGAGAACTGGGCGGACATGGTGAGCGGGACCACGTTTGGCGATCTGCAGGCGCTATGGAAACCGGACGATCCCAACGGCGTGCTTCCGAGCTGAAGATCTGTAGCCTATACCTTTCAATCTTAATCCGGACTGCTGCTTTGTCGATGCAAATGGGGGCACCATCTGTCCTTACCAACGTACGGCTGAAAGGCCATATCATGTTTCTTCGATCATCATAGTTGTACAGATTTTTGGTATTACTTCATTCAATCACGCGCGCGGCGAAGTCCCATAGTGAACTAAAGCTCCATGTCGGTCGCTCTTGGACCATTGACACATCATGGCGCCTTCTCCTTCTTGGGGTTGGCGACCCAGTACGAACCGTTTGGCCACTCGTAATCGGCGATACTCGATTTGTGCATCTCAATGCTGTACCCCTCGTTGGGGTTGCTGGGCACGTTATACCGACCTTGCTTGTTGATCGTGCACGGGGTGAGGAAATGCTCGTGCAAGTGGTCGACGAACTCGAGCACGTTGCGTTCCATCGAGCCCGAGACGCAAATATAGTCGATGACGCTGGTCGGCATCGTCAGCACCCATTGGAGGTCGTAGATGGGAGGCAGCACCGTACCTCAAGTGAATGACGTATTCGCACAGGCCGACACCGCCTGCGTGAGGACAGACAGGCACGCCGAATCTATCAAACGAACGTGCGCGTGAGTCGATTGTGTTTTGAGCGAAGATGGAAGAGTGAACGCACTTCGCTGCCATGGCGAGAACGCTGAGCACCTCGCTGACGCCCGCGAGACGGCACGAATCGATCTGACATACGTCGATCGCCTCCGCTTGCAGGAGCTGCTTGAAGACCATGCGATTGTGCGCATGCTCGCCAGTGGCGACACCGATGCCGTGCGGCTTGAGTGCTTTGCGTATAGCGGCATGCCCGAGGATGTCGTCGGGCGCGGTAGGTTCCTCAATGAACCTACAACGAGGATATATTGATGAGTCGTGTTAACAGGGAGCAGTGCGAGAAGATGTCGTACCATGGTCGGGTCTCCTTGAGGTAGGTGACCCATTCGATAGCCTGGGGAACATCCCAAACCTGGTTGGCATCGATCATGAAGACAGCGCCGGTGGGGCCGGCGTTTTTCCCCGCGAGCTCAGGTGAGTTAGGGTCGCGACCTATAAAAGCGTAATCAGTTTACTATTCCGAACATCTACAGATCATACATACCCTTCGAGCCGGGGGGAAGGTACTGGGGATCATCGATGATGGAGCGAATGATCTTGCCGCGTCGTAAGTCGCTCTCGCGATCTGCCCCAACCTGAGACAAGACATCAGCCCTCGTTCCAAAGCATGTCGCCAGATCCTCACCTTCATCTTGAAGGTATTGAAGCCGGCAGCGACCGCTTCCTTGGTCAGCCTCGCTACCTTCTCATCGGAGTAGCCCATCCATCCGGCCGACGTGACGTACGCCGGGTATCCGAGCTCCTTCACCTTCGCCTCGCGCTCGGCCTTGGTCGCCGCGAGCTTGGTGAACATATCCAGGGCCTCCTCGCGAGTGATCGCATCGGAGATGTACCTCCACGCCATTGAGTCCACGAGCTCCTGCGGCGTGAAGTCGACGACGAGCTTCCACAAAGGCTTCTTACGCGCGCGAGCGTACATGTCCCAGAGCGCGTTGTCAACCGCACCGGTGGCAATGTGGATCACACCTAAGTGGAGAGAAGAGAAGAGAAGCGTAGTCAGCGGACCAAACACGGGTCTTGTGAAGGGATGGCGCAGAGCAGAGGGTTACGGTCACAAGATACGCACCTTTTTCGGGACCAATCCATCGCAGCTGAGGGTCTCCGACGAGGAAATCCCATGTCTTGCCCATGTTCGCGAATAGCTCCTCGGGCTTTTTGCCGATGAGGCGATTGGCCAAAGCGGTGATTGCAGAGCAGACGATGTCATTGCCACGTCTATATCATGATTGTGAGGTTGCGTGCCCAACGATGGCAATATGGACGCACCCGATGGTGAATGTCATGCCATGACCAACATAGTTCGGATCGGAGGTGTATATGGAGATGTATGCCGAGGAGTAGTCACAATCCGTGTTCATGGCATCCGTGCCGTCGCCCGAGAGTCCAGTCGGGAAACGAACATCTGTCTACTCATGAGTATGCAGGTGATGAGCAGTGCGCGTAGTTGATATGTACCGTGCACCTCGAAGTGGGTGATGGTGACGTCGGCCATGGTCAATCACCCGTCAATAGGAAGAGGGCTATATGAAACAGTCAGTCAGCCCTTCGCTCGGCTGTCATGAAGGCTCACTGAAATCAGTGGAACGTCTACGGCAGCAGTGCGGGAATGCTTCATAGTCCGAACCGTACACTCCTTTATACAAGTGCTCTACCTTGCCATCGGTAAATCCCATCGACCCGCGGCAATCCGGACCGTGGCTAGGGGAATAGCCAGCGGGACCGCCGGGCCGGGTACCTCCCGGACACGTCCCGGGGTTGGTCCCGAGCTGGGGATCGAAAGGTCGTCGAATCCGACTTGCTGCGAAAACGGCAGCACGATTATAACGTATGGGGATTCGGCGTCGCCCTTGAGTGAAGACGGTGAAACGGGAGTGAAGGTGGCAGTATGGAGCACGTTTGCCGTAATGCATTGGTAATCCGGTGGTAACGCGTCGACAGCGTGCTTTTTTGGCTTTGACGGCGGCGAGTGGTAATAGAGAATGGCGCCTGGACAAGGTGTGTACACTCAGTGCTCCAATTCTGCGTATGGTGATGGAGGTTGATCGTGGTTTTTTCTCGAAGTGACATGGTGAGCTGCTCGGGCATGTTCCCGTCAAAAACCCGCGCTGACCGAAGCCATCCTAGTCCCGTTTGTTCGCAGCAAGTTCCTGAGTCAAAGATCAACGAACATTTGGACCAGAACTGTCGCGCTTTTGACGCGTCGGGCGCGTCAAAATCCTCGCAGGCAACGTCCAAGAAGAGCTCGCACACCGTGCCCACGAACCTCGCGCCGATCTTCTCTCAAGCGAGTACGCAGGCAGCCCCAGCCCATCCGACCACATCTACCCTTCCAGCATCAACCTCCAAGTCTATCTCGTCCGGGCCATCTGGTAAAAAGCGCGGTCATCACAGCACAATCGAAAGTAATGCGTTGGCCGGACCGTCCTCAGCTTCCGTGCAACCTTCGGCTGGTAAGCGGGTCAAGACTGCTCGAACATCGCGATTGGAGGCTGCTGCCCCTCTTGCGGAGCGCTTAAGACCCCAGAGCCTCGAGGAATTCGTCGGTCAGCCACATCTGGTTGGCAAGGATGCACTTCTGGTCAGCTCGCTCGAGAGGGGGTCTGTAGGAAGTATCATCTTGTGGGGTCCGCCAGGGTTAGCACCTCCCCGATCCTATCCTAGTCTTTGATCTGATCAAAATGCAGGTGTGGAAAGACGACCCTCGCTCGGCTGCTCGCGAAGCGGACGGATGCTGTCTTCAAAGAGCTCAGTGCGACTGTAGTCGGTATCAATGACGTGCGCGCTGTCTTCGACGAAGCAAAGAACGTGCTCCAGCTGACAGGACGGTATGCCTGTTACGTTTCCCAGTGACCTTATCTCATGCGCAGCGGTCGCAGTAAAACCATCCTATTCCTCGACGAGATACACAGATTCACCAGGTCACAACAAGTGCGGTTCATCAAGTCGATATCTTGCTCAGAATACGCCACTCACCCATCTTAACAATCAGGATATATTTCTACCGTACATTGAGCAGGGCCACATCCAGGTAGGCGAAGCACGTCGATGTGCTAGGACCTCGTTGACAAACTGCCTAGTTGATCGGAGCTACGACCGAAAACCCTAGCTTCAAGGTTAACGGCGCCCTCTTGAGCCGTTGCCGGTATGTGAGCGAGATTGCTGCAGCAGACGATGTCTGATTCCATAACTTTCTCTAGCGTATTCGTTCTTGAGCGGCTTACGGATGTCGATATCGAGCGGATTGTGAGGCAGGCTGTGGATCGCGTGGCGCCACCGCCGGCGTTGGAAAGTGCGCACAATGGACCAGACGCGTCCGAATCACATTCGCGGCCATCATCCCCCCCTTCCAGTTCTCCGACTAGTCAATGGAACTCGTCTCCAGTGATACTGGACAGGCCGTTCACCTCGTCTTCGCCCTTCCCTACGCCACCCTCGACGAAACAGGCGGAGAAGCGCGAGGCGCGGATCGACATAAAGCCCTTTCCTGCCTACCCCCAGCTCACCTCAAGGATCTTGGCATCCATCGTCTCTCTCTCGACGGGCGATGCCCGAACGGCAATCTCGTTGCTCGAGCTGGTCCTTTCTTCTCCCGCGACCGCGGAGGAAAGCGTGCTCCTCGATAGCCTGCGCAAGTCCGTAAGCACAAGCTACGACCGCACGGGAGACAGCCATTACGACCTCATCTCGGCGCTGCACAAGTCGGTTCGGGGCAGCGATCCGCACGCGGCGATGTATTGGCTTGCGCGTATGCTAGAGGCTGGCGAAGATCCGTTGTACATCGCTAGGCGAGCTCGGAACTCAGGCGCCGAATCGTTGACTAAACGGCTTGATTCTGCTTAGACGGGCGATTGTTATGGCCAGCGAAGACATAGGGTTGGCAGATTCGCATGCGCTGCCCCTGGTAGGTAACTCTCTTCATGCGCTGGGTGTACGATGTTGACCCGGTCTTGGATCATAGGCTATAGCCGCAATGCAGGCCTGTCAGTTTGTGGGCATGCCAGAGTGTCGTATCAAGTAAGACGGATCCTCCTTCAGAACATGCATCCCTGCTGACGCGGCAGCCACCAGCCTAGCGCACCTCATAGCATATCTCGCCGAGGCACCCAAATCGACACGCTCGTACGAGGCGTACAATCGTGCTGCAGAAGCCGCGAAGAAGGACATGACGCTGCCCGTGCCCTTGCAAGTGCGCAACGCTCCGACCAAACTCATGAAGGAGCTCGGATACAGCGAGGGATATCGCTACAACCCAGACTACGCGTACGTGCTCGCCGTCCTGGACGGCTGTGGGAGCTGTATCGTTGAGATGATGTTCTCTAGACATCCCGTGCACAACGAGTATCTGCCATCGGAGCTGAAAGGACGGGTGTTCCTTAGGCCCGCGGGTGATGTGACCGGGAAGATCTGGGACGAGGCGGCGTTGCAAAGATGGGAGGAGGAGACTGGGAGAAGGTGGGAGGGGCGATCGAATGAAGAGTGATGTGGTGCATGGACGGCTGGTTTTAAGGAGGAATATCTTGCTTTCGTTATCGTTTGAATTGCTTTGATTGCGCTTTGCTTTCTGATGTGCATAACACTATGTCTATGGATGACTGGCGGCTCTTCCCACTGGATGCCCTCGTGAAGTCGTAAACAGTTTATGCAGACGCAAACCGCATCCTCGACGCCCAGCATAGTCGTGCAGTACGTGCGTCTCCAAATCGGCACGAGCATCACATAACTGTATTGTCATCTGAGGCCGCCGCAAGCACTAGCGCTTCTACGAGGGTATGTAATCGAAACTCACACCGGTACAGGACCACACATCTTCAGCAGCATTTTCGGAAATTCATGAGCTGTGCCAATTTTGTTTTCGCGTCGCAAGCGAGCCTCCTTCTCTTCTTGACCAACCGATTTCTACCCAACTCTTGATTTAATACACACCCCAAGACAAACCTAGTGACAGCGACGCAGCCCGGATGTTCAGTCCGCACGGTTTGAAGCGAGTGCCTTGCGCTGCCATTACCACCAATAAATGCGCGAAGGACGGCACCCAAGTTTGCTCGCAGGTATGCCCCGAAAGCTGTCCGTGTTCTAGTCACCTACTGATCACCCACATGTGTCGGCTGGTTGACAGTGTCAATTGGTATCGGTACGTGTCGCGAGCTTCTGAGTGGGATCGGAAGAGACTGAGCCACCATGGGACAGTATTGTTCCGGAGCTTGCCAGCTCGCACACTGGAAGAAAGGGCATCGCGACGTGTGCAAGAGCCCATATTTGAAAGTGAACTGGATGCCGCAGTGGCTGGTAAAGCAGCGGGACCCCAGCTTCTTAGCGGAAGAAGGCCAAGACCCAATCCATGTTTCCTATGGAAAACGAGCGCACTACATCTGGGGCAACATTCTCGCGTTGGACTGCTTGCGTGCTGAAGCGAATGAAGGGTCAATTACAGACAGGGACCTCACGCTAGGCTTTGTAGGTACTCGCCTCATCTTCCGCCACCTCGAGCGATTCCGGTGCTTACCATCTAAATTCTTACAGCCTCAGGAGATCTCCGGCATTTCATACGTACCGTCAACGCCCTTCCTAGCGACTACTCTGGAACATGCACGGTCCTTCTAAACGACCAAGATCCCGTCATCACCAGCCGAAACCTGATGGCGCTCATCTTCCTCGGGGGCCACCTCGCTGGCGACCTCGAGCGCGACATCGAACTCGTATTCCATCTCCTTTACTCCGCCGCCGTGCCCGCGCGACACGCCACTGCCGTCTCCCTGATGACGCAGCGAATGTTCATGATGGCCTCCCGAGACCTCGGCCATCTGCAGACGTACTCGTACCGCCACGACACCGAGGACGGCCGTGTTGGGTCTGTGCAGGCCGCGTTCCCCACGTCCGTTTTCGCGCACCTGGTCGCCATGGGCACGTCGACGTACACCTGGTCTGAGGCGCAGAAGGCCATGACCGATACCACGCTCGCCCCAGAAAGGCTGGATTACAGGGAGCGGCACTGGGGAGGGATGTCGCCCGCCCACCGCATGTCGTTCATACGCTATCGGTCGACAGGCGTCGTGCTGCCCTTCGGAGCTGACCTCTCAGCCTACACCGAACCCAATCGGTACGCCTGCTTTCCGTTCCGCTAGCTGACAGTGATGTCTGAGCTGCCTCTTCCTCCTAGCTTCATGTTCACCAGCAAGGGAGAATGGCTCACCACTGACTCTGCTTGCCCCCTGTACGGCTGGGACCCGCGCGACTGCGTGGCCACCGGCCGGAAGCACGGCTGCACCCCGGGGGACATCTTCGGCTGCTTCTACTTCCACGTCAAGGACGAGCTGGCCGAATTTGCGCGCCGTCTGCGCCGGTTCAACCTCGACGTCCGTATCACGTCCAACGACGCGGGCGCGCTCGCGGGCGCGATCAAGGCGCGGACCGACCCTTTCCTTGCCCCGTTCTGGCCGCCGCGCTTCGACCGGGTGGAGACATCGAACATGTCGGATTACGAAGGCGTACCCCGCGTGCTCGAGTGGTGGGCGCCGCTGTTGAACCCCGCCAACCCGCATGCTGCGGTGCTGATGTACTCCATGAACTGGAAAATACCCAGGCAAAAGGATCTGGAAGACGTCATTCTCACCCATCCTGCGTTACCACGTTGCCTTGAAGCCAATGCGCGCGCAGAGGAATTTGCGGTAGGATATCCGATGCGTTGCTACTGGACATCAGCCTTTTTGCTCATGACGCCCTATTTCTGATAGAGGAAGTACGTGAAGCGCTCAGAGGCAAAGAACCGCGGGTGGTGTTACTCCACCGGCATGCCTGCCAGATTCAAATTCCGCGAGACGATCAACGCCTTCTACGACAACGACCAGGACTTCGAGGGCCACCTCGCGTCGACAGGCTTCGGCTCAGTCGCCCGAGAGCTCGGCGTACGCATACGCGATGCGAACAGGGTATTTCCGAAGGTAAGCACGTCCTCCACCTTGTCGCCTTTTTTTGCACGTGTGTTATCTTCGTTGACGCCGCGTTCCGCCTTTCACAGAGGATTAGCTTTGGCTTCGACGCGAACCCGGCGCAGCTGCCGCCGTTTGGAGACGAAGACATTTACTTGCTTGGTCAGTTTCCTTCTTCCGTCCTCGGGGCTGCCGGTCGGTCGAAGTTTCGTGTTTTGATCGTATTTCTGCCTTTTTGTCTGCCAGGTCGGCTCACCAGTACGAGCTTCTGCGAGCGGTTCTTTGAGTTTGAGGCCATAAACCTCTCGGATGCGTGTCTGGAACTCGATTGATCGGTACGGGGGAGAGGGGCTCGCACGCATCAAACACTTGGCCGTTTGGGTCTTACGGTCTTGCAAAGCCTTTCAGGGACTGCCGCTCACAGACGTCTGCACTACTAAAATGGCGTCACGCTCCTGCCTTGTTCGACGTGAATACACTGCTGCTTGTTCGATGGTCGCCTACATGTTTGTTTGCTCCCGTGTCTGTTTGGGCCGTCTTGGCTCGGCAGGCCGTATGGAATATCTATCACTAGGGTGAGTGTGCCTCGCAGTTCTGTGGATGCTCAGAGTCGGAACTGACGGTGTCGGATTCGGGGCGACTTCAGCGTGGATGCACCCTCGTGGTCATTGACCGTGTCTCGGCGCTGCATCTGACTCGGTGGGGAAAAAAAGCCTGATCTGCCCTGTTATCTAACGTCGAGTCGGGAGATATACGCAACTTGGTCCGCATCATGAACGGTCTTCCTGAGCAGGCTCCTGAGCAGGCTCCTGAAGCAGCCTGGATATCGCGTCGAGTCGATCTGAGCGGCTTCGGCGGTATTGGATCGAAAGCCTGCTTCCTGAGGATTATTCGGGTGCTTGCACCGTCCTGCTCAATGACCATGATGCTGTCGTCACCGGCCGGAACCTGATTTCCCTGATAGTTCTTGCAGGATCCGAGTGCAACGAATTCTTGGATCTCGAGGTTGCTATTGCTTTCCATGTGCCATATTCGGCTGCAGTAATTCAAGCTTCTGCTTCATTTCAGCTATGATATCCGGCCTGGCGCTGTACGCTCGTCCGTGGAGCAAAGTTGCTCATGTACAATATGTTTGCTCCTCTAGCTCACGTTACAAGTATCGTTCACTGCGGGCATAAATCTGAGGAAGCTTGCTGCAGCGCTTGAACGATCCGGCGCTATGACCTGCAGCCTTTCTGCCCCTTCCCTCTCTTCTCGTCTTCATCCGCGAACGACTCGTCCGCCGTCTCCTCCCCTGTTGCAGCCTCGTCCCAGCTTTCATCCGCACCACCGTTCACGTCCACGTCCGCTTCCCCATCGGTGCCCTCCATGCCCTCATACGTCACAGCCTTCGAGGGCCTCTTCGACGCTCGCGCCCTCGTCAGCCTCGGCACAGGCTCCTCCTCCTTCCCCTCGTCCTCGTCGACCGACACAGCCGGATCCTCGCCCTTAACTTCGTCCTCCTCCCCCACGACCCCCGACTGCGCTGCCTTCTTCCGTCCCGTGCCTTTCTTCGCCGACTTCCGTCCCTTCGTCTCCAGGGTTTCCACCTCCGCGGGCGGCCTCAAGCTCTCTGCAATCAATCGAATCGCCATCAGTCCCCAACTCACTCTAGCACGATTCAAAAGAGGGGGAGAGGAGGCCCACCGTGTATGACCGGCTCAAGCCCGTATATCCGATACAAGTGCAGAACCGCCTGCTCCTTATCCTTCGCCTCGATCATCAGGTCCACGTCGTCCGGCAGGTCCGGCGGCAGCGCCTGACACCTATCCGCGTGCGCGCGCTTTTGCATGACCGTCTCTGCGCCCGGACGCGGCTCGGACAGATGCTGCTTCGGGCGGATGCCGCGCCGCTCCCAGATCGCGCCCGCCCGACGAATGATCTCTGCGGGCGGGATCGACGAGGGGTAAATCCAATCATGGTGGTAGTCTAGAATACGTGTATTCGTGAGTATGTTGATAGCGGAAATAGGAGGGGATGGGCAAGGCACGAACCGAAGACGAGCGGGATATCGAGCTCTTCGCATAGAGGGAGGAGGTCCTCGGCGTTGTAGCACATCTCGTCGTTCTCGAGCACGATCCGGTCCTTCACGTTCTGCGGCAGCAGCTCCGTGAAGGACGTCTTGATGCGCGCCAGCGCGGCCGCCTTGTCGCCGTACACCCCTCCGCCCTGAAAAAATTAGAGGTCAACTCAATGTTTGGCAAGAGTCACACAAAGATAACAAACATGGATGATCATCACGCTATCCTTCCCCAGCCCCATGCGGTCTATCATCTCGCAGTGGTACTTGAGGTCTCTCACCGCGTTCTCGACCACTCCGTCCTTGGGGCTGCCGAGCTGCGTGAACTGCCCAGGGTGCGTCGTGAGCCGGTGCCCGTACTTCTTCGCGAGGTCGCCGACGGCCTTCAGGTCATCCGCGCAGTATTCGAGCGAGTAGCCGTAGATGGGATGGGACGCGAAGGGAAACATCTCGGAGGACATCCGCATGAAGCGTATCCGGTTCGCTTCGTTCCATTCGATGAGCTTGAGCAGGTCGCGCACGTTCTGCCGGCCGAGCTCTTTGACCCATTCGAGCCCGTTCTTCTTGATCGAGTCGATACTGCAAAGACGAAGAGGTAAGAGAGAGGGTAGCAGCGAGCCGCGACGCGCGAAGAACCATACCGGCATGTACGCGAGCAAAATATAGCTTCCGCTGCAGGCTTTTTATTGCGCAGTATGGTGTTCAAGCACGCGTACCCTGAAGAAACGTCACGTCAAGAATGAAACGGCTGTAAACAGGTGTATTTACCTAACCGGCCTTTGAACGTCGTCTCCTTCCTCTCCACATCAGGGATAACATACACCGGCTCGGGTTTGGGTGCTCTCGGTTTCCTTGGCTTCTTCACTTTGACGCCTTCGTCGGGCCCTTCTGCGCCTTCCTCTTCGCCATCTGCGGTCACCTTACGTTTCTTCGCCACGCGCTTCCCCTTTCCTTTCGCCTTCCGCTTGGCAGGCGCTTCCGTACTCGGACTCGGCAGCGGCGTCAGATCCGACTGCTCGCCATCCTCGTCCTCCTTCGCCGCGACAGCCTCGTCTGGGTCGTGTAGAGGCTGAGCGTTTTTCGGAACGTGGGCCGAAACCTCAGCGGGCTGGACGACCGCTTTGCTAAGCGGAGGCGCGCGCTTGCGCTTCTTGCTGGGCGGAGGCGATGGTAGCGTGCCCTCGTACTTGGCCGAGATGGTAACGCCTTCGACCTCGAACTTTTCGACGACGCGAGGCGGTGAGGAGACGGCGGGGGAAGAGATGTTGCGTCGCGAGCTTCGTCGGACCGATAGGGGTGTTGCAGGTAGCCGAACGGGTGCCATGATACTGATGGGTATGTATTTAAGCTTGGTGCCAACTATCGCAGGGGATGCTCTGTGCAAGCAACCTAGATGGAGTAGGAGCAGAGCCACGATGTCTTTGTGGTGCAGATGTCGCTGGTACTAGGAGGACGTCGGTGAAACGCGAGGAATATCGTCAACGTTGTGAGGATATCGGTCTTCGTCGTATGGAACAATGAGCAAGTAGAAAAGTGTAGTAAGCAGTGCGCGGCATTTTTCTCCTGTCCCGGCGTTTTGTGGTGGGCGGCGGAACGATCGAAAGCGCGCTGAGGTCATCGTGGGGTGGCGCGCACCGCGGCGAATCGGGCGGTCCATAAAAGGAAATAACCGAGCGACGAGGCCCAGAATCTGGGTCCTTCAAAAGCGCACCATTTGTACTGCGACGCCGCCGAGAAGAATTGCACAGCAGACTGAAAGCTGACGAGACCCCGTTGCGCGTGCTACGGATCCGGAGGGAGATCTTGTGGAATGGCAGTTCCGCACGGTTTTTGTTGGACATTCCCGTTTGCCAGAGGATATCCCCTGCGAATTCGGGTCGTCGACGTTACGTGAGGAGGTGGTGAGGATAATTTTCCTGGGCCTGTGGGCTAGCCGCGCATAACACGCAGTCGTCGTGTCGTTCGAGACATGGCATGGTCCGTTCGATGATGTCATGTACCGCGTTGCAATTGTACGCAGCGACACCTCTGCGCATGCAGCTAAACTTGTTTGTACATCTTCGACGTCGACCATTGCGGATAGGCTTATGTTCTCCCCCGCACACTGAGGCGTCGTCGCTCGTCTGAAGATCAAAAGATATATCACTGCGACTCCCACGGCGTCCATCCCGGCTTGCTCACACTCACGCAAGCTCAATAGCTTGCTGAGCAATCCCCTCCTGCGTCAGCCATGCGCGCGCGATCCACACGATAAGTAAAGTCTATCCGGCCTTCCGGGGCGAGCTTCTTGCTTCGTCATCTCGTGGCCACCGCAAACTCAGGTCGCCCATGTCGCCATATGGTCGCATATTAAAAGCCAGCCTGGGCAGCGTCCCTCCCAGACTCTCCAGCTCTTGTCTGCGTACCCATCCGCGTCCATTCAGCGCGTCCAGCTTCGCCAGGGCATCTCCATCCAGTCGCAGTTCCTTCAGTAGGCGATCACTGTCAACAATGTCCGGAGAAAAGCCGATCTTGCTCTACACTCTCGGTACGCCGAACGGGCACCCCATCTCCGTGTTCCTCGAAGAGCTCAAGGCGGCATACGGCGCCCTCGACTACGAGTACGTCTGCCGCCCTTTCCTTCTCTTCCCTGTCCGTTGCCGATGACGTCATCTCACTCACGAAACGAACTCGAACAGCGTCTACAAGATCAACTTCAGCGCGAACGAGCAAAAGGAGGACTGGTTCATCAAGCTGAACCCGAACGGGCGCATCCCGACTATCGTCGACCGCTCCCGGAACAACTTCACGGTCTTCGAGACGTCCGCCATCCTCCTCTACCTCGCGCAGCACTACGACAAGGACAACAAGTTCTCGTTCGACCCCGTCAAGGACGCGGACGACTACAGCGTGGAGCTCCAATGGCTCTTCTTCACCGTGAGCACCCTCTTCCCGTCTGCCTTTTCGAACGAGAGTGCTGATGGCATGATCTAGCACGGCGGCATTGGCCCGATGCAAGGCCAATCGCACCACTTCAGGCACTACGCCCCCGAAGACATTCCCTACGCCAAGAAGCGTGCGTCTCCACTCCGTTGGTCCACGCCCGTAGGGCTTATCTGACTCCGTCCAGGCTACCTTGACGAGACCAAGCGCCTCTACGGCGTGCTCGAGATCCGCCTCAAGGACCGCGACTGGCTCGCGGGCCCGGGTCGCGGCAAGTACTCGCTCGCGGACATCAAGGCCATCCCTTGGTACGCCTCCCGCCCCTTGCCTCCTTCCATGCTCTTCTGTCAACTGATTCGTCGCGCAGGGTCCGCCACCACGCATACGCCGGCGTCGACACGCTCGACGACGAATTCCCGAACGTCAAGGTAAACCTCCCTTCCCTTCTACTCGTTCACTGTGAAACTGCAATGACTGATCCGGTCTTGTGTTAGGCTTGGATCGAACGTGCCGTCGCTCGCCCCGCCTGGGAGATCGGCCTTAAGGTCCCCGCGTGACTGCCCAAGCTTTGAGCGGAAAGTGAACGAAGTGTTGTATGATATGTAACGAAGGATATGAGATATGAGATGTCCACTGAGTGGCCGTAGAAACGGCGTCTTCGAAAAATTTCGGGAGCCAGGAAATTGGAACGCGCGCGCGGAAGACTTAAGAGTATCACTGCGGGAAACAGGCCGAATCTGGGCAAAATATATCAGAAACAATTGACAAAATAATTCAGAAAAGTTATGAGATAAGTTGACCCAAATGATGTCAAACTTACAGCAAAGAGACCGGGAAAGTATTCATATATCTGCATCCTTAAGATAAATCTGTCATAACTTCAGACTAGCTTAGCTGCAAATATGTCAATAACAACCATAGTTACTACAGAATAAGTTTGTTATATGTTTTCCCCAGATTTTAGGGATTTCCCGCTGTGTATCTCAAATCCCGATTGAGTGACACAACAACGCCACTAATTACTATACTTGGCTGCGAGCTCACCACGTTTCAGTGAAACGAGGCACCGAGGCGATTGCGAGTGAGAGCTGTTGAGTCCCGCATTCACCAGGTACCTGCTTGCAAGCCTGTCAACAGAAGAGGGTCTGTCAACATGTCTAATGCGTATGGGACCAAAGGCGTCGAGGTTCGCAAAACATGGGACAAAGAGGAGTACGCCCAACGGGCGAAGCAGAAGGACGAGGAGGAGAAGGAGCGCATGAAGGAGAATGAGGATAGGATGAAGCAAGGCTCGCATACACCCCCCTTTCATTGCCTTTGATATAAGTGGGACTGAGACTGTGTCTTTGTATCCAGGGAAGAAACCGCGCAAAGGGCGGAAAGAGGATTTACCAAAGCCGACGGAGCTCATGAAGCGGCGCGAAGGGTCATTAGAGCTAGACAAAAATCTGAACAAGACGATGGTTGTACAGAACGCGGGAAACCGTGGGCCTGGTGTACCAGGGTTCTACTGCGAGGCGTGCAACCGGACATATAAGGACAGTGCCGGCTACCTCGACCACATCAACAGTCGAGCACGTACGTCCCATTCGCTTGCATACCGTTTGTTCACAGGTTTGCTCACATCTGCGCTTCCGTGCAGATCTGCGTCAGCTCGGCCAAACAACCAAGATCGAGCGCTCGACGGTCGAGCAGGTTCGCGCACGCATCGCCTACCTGCGCGAGAAGACGAAGGAGGCCTCCGCCGCGAAGTCCTTCGACTTTGAAAAGCGGCTTGCCGAAGTGAAGGCGCGCGAGGCCGCGCTCCGCGCTGAGAAGAAGGCACAGAAGCGGGCAGCGAAGGAACGCGTCCGGGAGGAGCTCGCGAAAGACGTTGACATGGACGCACAAAACGATGTCGCGTCCATGATGGGCTTCAGCGGTTTCGGCTCCTCCAAGAAGTAACGCGCCGGGGCAGCGGTGGCAAAGGTTCGATACGATACCCTACAACGGCAGCACTGTATCTCTAGTCAACGATGTATCCATATTCATACACTTTCATATTTGCTTTACGATCTCCCTTAGGCCTGCTCAAGGCCACGCCAATGACAGCACAAACTTGACATCCGCCACCTCCTGCTCCTCTTCGATCAGCACCTTCTGCCCCTCCTTCCTTTGTGTCACGTCCACCGGCACGTTCCGCACCGTCTTGCTAATCAAATCCGCGTGTGCGCGGCTCGCTTCTAGCAGCTCCGTGCCCGTGCCCTCCTCGAACTTGTAGAACACGTCTACGTCGTCCGTCGCCTGCAAGCCGGCCTTCTTCCGCAGTTTCTGGACACGGTTGATCAGTTCGCGCGCAAGCCACTCATTCTTGAGCTCGGGGTGGATCTGAATGTCGAGGCGCACGACTACGTCGTTGTCCGTGTGCGTCGCGTACTGCTGTGCCGCGCACTCGGCGGCACCGAGCTCGAGGTAACGCTGTACGGCGAGATCGCCCTCAACGAGCTCGATCCCGGCCACGGTCACCTTGCCCGTCTCCATATACGCCTTTACGTCATCGCTCGACAAGCCCGGGAGCGCATTCTTGACCTTGCCGAGGTCCTTGCGCAGCTTGCGGCCGAGCACGGCCCAATCGGCGACCGCGCGGTACTTGATGCCGGTCTGTACTTCGTCGGATGTGAAGACAATGTCCCGTACGTTGAGCTCGGACTGGATGTAGCGCTGGAGCGGCTGGATGTCTGATAGGTACTTGTCATCTGCATGGAAAATCAGGAGCTCCTTGAGCGGAGTCTGTGTGAGGTCGTTAGATCAGTTCCTGAGTCGCATGAAACAATTGGAAGCTTGCCTTGAGCGACAGATTGTGGCGTTCACGGATGGTCCGCGTGAGCTCGATGACGGTTTGCATCCGCTTCACCTGTCTTTCGATGTCTTCGTCGAAGTACTCCTCCTTGACCTCCGGGAACAGCAGGAAGTGAATGGATCGCGTGTCCCCTGCTGCCGGGTCCCCCGGGATGAAGGGGCGTAGAGACTGGTACAGATTCTCGGTCAAGAACGGCGTGTATGATGACTAGATCGGTCCCATCAGAATGCGAACGTTCAAAAGATGGAAGAACAAACGAACCATGGTCTTGCACAACGTGAAAAGCGTCTCGAACAGCGTGTTCAACGCCGCAAGCGTGTCCTCCTTCCCGTCCTCGCCCTTCAGCCTCCGGCGGTTGAACCGGATGTACCAGTTCGTTAGCTCGTCGACGAGGTCGAGTAGGCGCGGGATAATGGTATACAGCCTGTAGGCAGCCATCTCCTGCCGAACGAGCTTGATGAGCGACTGGCAGCGCGCGAGGATCCAGCGGTCCATGACATTATTCGACACCGGTGCATGTGGGTTGTACTTGAAGTCAATCTCGCCAGTCTTGCGGTGGAGTGCCACCTGGCCCAGGAAGAAGCGGAAGGAGTTGAGCCAGGGCAGGAGCACACGTGAAACAACATCGCGAACGCCGTCCTCACGGAAGCGGAGGTTGTCGCCGCGAACGATGGGGGAGTTGACAAGGTACATTCTGCGAAGAATTTGGTTGAAGGCTGAGGCTGCTTCGATTGCATATTGTCACATACCTCGTAGCGTCGGCGCCATATGTGTCGATGATGATGTTGGGGTCGGGGAAGTTGCGCAGGCTCTTGCTCATCTTCTTGCCGTCTCTAGACAGACGAAGGATATTAGTATCGCACGACACAAGTGCGACGGCAACGTACGCTGCGAGCACCAAACCGGTAACAATAACATTCTGCCATGGTGCCTTGCCAAAAAGGTGTGTGCCCAGAACAAGCAAAGTGTAGAACCATCCACGAGTCTGATCAATACCCTCGGAGATGAAATGCGCCGGGTAAGTGCTCTCGAAGAGCTCCTTGTTCTCGAAGGGATAGTGAAGCTGAGCGTACGGCATGCTATGCAGACAACGCGTAAGCTCAGATCGCAACGACCGCAGACTCTGAAAGCTTCGACGCACCTGCCGGACTCGAACCAACAGTCAAACACCTCCTCCACTCGCTTCAGGACACCCTTGCCCTGTCGCGAGGGGATGGTGATGTTATCTATTTTGTCACGATGGATATCGGTGATTCCTGTGATGCCGGACAACCGTTCCAGCTCCTCGACCGAACCAACGCAGACGATCTGCGAGGGTCAAAAGCATGTTCAAACTTCTCCGATCATTACCTGATGCGTAGACTGACCTCCTCTAGATCGTCGCTAACCCATAGCGGGATGGGAGTTCCCCAATACCGGTTGCGAGATACGTTCCAGTCACGCGCGTTCGCGAGCCAGTTACCAAACCGGTTGTCACCAACGTTTTGGGGGACCCTGGAACCTCAACCCTGGTAAGCGCGAGTGTAAGCATAGCATAGCATAGGACCTGTACCAGCGCGTTCCTTGGTTGTTCTTCACGAGTTGCTCGACGATGGGCGTAACACGCACGGACCAAACAGGAATGGCGCGATACAGAAGTGGGGTACCCGATCTGAGGTGCGACAATGATCAGGTTCATGAGCATCAACATGGACGTGGAAACGACTTGCCTCCAGCAGAATGGGTAGGAGTGGTTCAAGGTCGACTGAACCACCAAACGACCTTTGGCCTTCAGGTACTTCTGAATGTCCTTATCCGCGACCTGTGTATCATTCACTTCAACGAGCTGCATCCGCGCAGAGGATCCGTGGAGATTGCGCATACCTTAACGTACTGTCCTTCGAAGTCAGGGGCAGCTTTGGTGAACTTGCCAGAATCGTCCACGGGGGAGGGCGGCATCTCGTCTTCGCGGATGATACCGTGCGCGAGTGCAATGCGGTGATCATCTTCACCATATGCGGGCGCTTGGTGCACGATACCAGTACCGTCTGCGTCGGTCACGTAATTGTCGACGAGAACTCGGAATGCCTTCTCCCCGAACTGAATACATCGTTAGCCCTCGACGAACGGCCAGTTGACAATGAATATGGATAACTTACCTGTCCGACAAAGTAGTCGAAGAGCGGGATGTATCGCCACCCTTTCATCTCCGAACCCTTGTATGATCCAAGCTTCTTGTACTTGGCCTTCTTCGGGTCCTTGTACAGAGTACGGAGGAGATTTTCGTGTAATATGAAGTTCTCCTTCCGCTCTTCGTCGTGAATCTTAATGTAGGTGTAGTCGGGATGGACGCACAGGGCAAGGTTGGAGGGGAGAGTCCACGGTGTGGTTGTCCATGCAAGGAGAGACGTCGAGGGATCGTCGGCGAGGGGAAATGATACCGTTACTGTACCACCAAACACAGTTAGCCAGTTATCCATCTGCTAAGATGGGGGGTGACGTACCGGCGGGGTCATTGACATCTCGGTAATCGAGTCCAGCCTCGAAGTTCGACAAGGGCGTCAGACAACCCGTCGAATAGGGCATGACCTTCAACCCGCGATAAACCATTCCCTTCTGGAACAGCTGGCTGAACGCCCACCACACGCTCTCCATGAAGCTCAGGTTGAGCGTCTTGTAGTCGTTGTCAAAGTCAATCCACCGGCCCATACGCTCAACTGTCCTCCTCCATTCCGAAGAGTAGCGCATTACAATCGCGCGACACTCCTCGTTGTATCTGTCGATCCCCATCTTCATGACATCGTCGCGTCCGGTGATGCCCAGTTTTTTGTCGATTTCATGTTCAACAGGAAGTCCGTGCGTATCCCATCCAAAGCGACGGGTGACATGATGTCCACTGACATGAGCATGGCGAGTTACGATGTCCTATACGATGGACGAAGATCATGCTTGTGCAACATCTGGAAGAACTTGTCTACGCACCTTGATCGTCCCGGCGAGTAAATGTCCATAATGGGGCAGACCGGTTGCGAACGGTGGGCCATCGTAGAAGGTAAATTCAGGCCGCCCTTCCGAGAGCTTCAAGCTCGTCTGAAACGCATCGATCTCTCTCCAGAACGCGATGACTTTTTCCTCCTCCTTCGCAAAGTTGAACGGGGCGGAGACTGCTCAACCTCAGCACGTGTTACAGATTCTCGCGGATCTACTCACTATCGTGAGGCGGGAACGACATGTTGTTGTCGCCGTCCCTGCTCAACCTTCCGGTATTTATCGACAGGCGGTGACTCGGGTGCAGAAATGACTTGGAATGCTCTCTGTAAAGCTTGATCTGGTCGTAAATCTCCTTGGGTCGGGTTAGGGTTCAGACGAGCACCGCCACTTAGCCACGTGGTGTTGTTCCTCGCTCTCGGCAGCTATTTCGAGCTCATCTGCCGTAAGGTCCCCATCGCGGGTCGGACGACTCCACGCTCGCAGGCTCATTCTTTGCTGCGTGCTGGATCCCATGCCCTGCAATCTTGACTAGAACTACAGCCATGCGATCACCGGCCCTTACATACCTCAGAATAACCTCTCGTCTGCTCTGGCTGCTGCTACTCTGCTTAATTTCTCCCGCAAGAGCATGGATTCAATACGCTAGCACGGGCAACGCGACGATGACACATTACACAATGGCGGAGGGGACTATTACTGCCTGTGGATGTACTGGGGACAGGTAAGCAACTCTTCCCTCTGGTTAAAGAGCACAACGTGATCTTCATGCCGTTCGTAGCACTAAATTCCCTACCGCGGCTCTTTCAGAGTCTGCCTATGGGAGCACCACCGCCTATGGCCCATCATGCGGACGTTGCTTCAACCTGACGCTGCTGAACACGTTCACGCCTGACCCACCCTTCATCCCGGACACGCATCCTAGCGTAATCGTGAAAGTCACCGATCACTGTCCATTGGGAGGTGATTGGTGCAATGCCACGGATACCAAACCGAACAAGCAAGCGCAGTCTTCCGTATCCGAGGGATGAATAATGACCAATCTCTACGCTTAGAGGTGGGGAGTTCCTGAACTTTGACCTCGTTTGGCCGTCCAAGGCAATCCCGGACGATTTCTTCCCTTCAAATAAGACGTTGTATGGTACGTGGGCATGTCCTGGAGATATGTTTGTCGCCCGTTTTCACATCTTCACGTCATGCAGGCTTTACCGTGAGTTTCCCGTGCTCGAAGTAAGGTGGAGAGGGCAATGAACGGATACGACGTGACACAGGATTTTGGCGTCTGGAACATCAGTTACGAAGTCGTACCGTGCTCGGAATGGAAAGGGTGGAACGACGCATCCGCACTCGGTAGTGTGCCCACTCTAGGCGATGGCGCATGCTGTCCCGCTGATCCAACCGTGAGTCGCCCTTCGTTTCAAACACCGCTCTTCTGGAACACTCCGATCAGAACTCGAGCAATACCTGTCCCTCTTTCTCAGATGCCAATGGAATCCCGTATGTTACTCTGTCATCCTATCATGACACTGCTCCGGCTGATGCTCGGCTGCCATAGGCCAAACACCGCATCTAGCTCTGCTTCAGGAAGATACTTATACCCGATTGGTTCTTGGATAGTGTCATACCCTCGCCTTTGTATCTTTACGGTTGTATTCGGTTTGCTGTTTGTTGGGGCATAGAGATTATACCATTCTCGGTTGTGGATCAGGGATTATTGGGAACATCAGCACAGTGCTATCTATCCTTATATACCTTACAATAGTGCATATTGTGACATTCGATCAATCAACTCGTCAGCTTGTCCAAATAAGCATGTATCCGGTCGGCCTCCCTCAATCCACTAATGACTGCTCCCGCAACACTGCCCCTGTGATTCATCTCAGTGTGTTCACCCGCGAATGCGAGCCGGCCATCCCACAAGGGCTTTCCTAGCTCAGCGAAGTCTAATGGTCCCCTGCCCTCGCCAATGATACTTGGGGTCGTGGTCGCGCCCAGGGACAGCGGGTCTTTGTGCCACTCTGTTCTGACGCTCGCCGAAGGGGGAGGCGGCGTGATGGCCGGTTGAATTCGGCGAACGAGGAAGTCGTGCGCGGCGCTTGTGACCTCCTCGAGGGAGTATGGCGCCAATCCCAAAGCCGGAGATGGGGAGAGGTAGAAGAACACGGTCGGATGTGGCTTTGGCAGCGACGGCGCGGCGTATGAAGCTGCGACGATCGTATTCGCGTCCAACACGCTCGCGGCACTGTCTTCCGCACTTGATTTGGTAGGCAAGAAGGTGAAAGATCCGACCGTCGCGGCGTCCGGCCACCACGCTTGCTCGTACACCAAGCAAAGTTTCTCTAGGACGCCGACGTGCGTCCCCTCTATAACCTCTGTCCTTCTCTTCGGCAGAGCGGGTTCGAACAGCGTCGCTGCTCGCTGCTTCAAAACGCCCAACGGGATCGTGCACAGTACCGTCTTCGCCTTGTATGTCGCTCCCTTGTTCGTCGCCACCTTGACGCCCGCATACTCTTGCACGACGATATTGACGGTTTCGCCAAGTTTGACCTCCGCGTTCCCAGTCTCCGTGGCGGCCTCGACGACCTTCTCAACCAGTCGCTGAAAGCCGCCCTCGGGTGCTGCATCTGAACCAGCGAAGTTGTCCTCCCAGCCCGTCCACCGCAGGCTCACGCGCTCCAGCTCTACCCCGAAGGGTATCTCAAGCATTCTGGCGAGCGATTTCGCGGAAGACGCCGCGGGAGATGCGTTGATAGAAGATTGAGAATTGAAGAAGAAGGATGCTAGGGAGGTGGAAGCGGAGATGGACGAAGCAGGGGTGTCGCGCGCGTAGCTGCGTGCGGCTGCGTGGGTCTTTGATAAACTCGATTGAAGATCGGTCGTGGCAGCTTGTGTAAGGCGTCCTGGCGTTGTCACCATCAGATATCACTCTCAGAGATTCTGTCCTGAAGGGCAGATTCACCTTCTTGGTCATAAATGACGCTTTCTGTGGGCTGTGACAGATGTGTGGCCTATATGTCGCGGGTAAGTGTCATGGGTTTATACAAGCTATGAACGGTATAACAGACCGTGCCGAGCTCTTTCGCGATGCCCTTCGTTGGATTGCCTTCCTTGTAGCCTTCGGGCAAGACCGTCAGATGGAAACCATCTCATATTATGCAGGGCAGAGACCATGTATCCAGCTACAGCCTAGGTCAACCGGCGCGTGCATCCCCTCCTCGTACGTCCTCGCCCGGCCTCCAATACGGTCTCTTGCTTCAACGATAATGACCTTGCGACCTTTTTGAGCGAGTCGGCGAGCTGCAACTGCACCGGCCCAGCCCGCGCCTATAACGATGGTGTCGATTTGTCTAGACATATGAATGTTCGATATGCGAAAGGGTCGAAGGCAAACTGGAGATGATTGCCAAAGCGGCAGATCAGTACATAGTGACATGGCCCGATACCGGGCCGGACAGCCTGTCTCTCTGTTCCACATGTGCGCCCTCCAGAAATGAAGAATTGAAGCTTCCAAAGTTAACCCTCCCAACGCCCGACGTTGACAGACCTTGAGCGGACTTGCCTTGCCTGAGCAATATCCATATATTCGTGCTTTTCTGGGAGGAGTCCAACGCCGTTCATTGGCATCCACCATTTAACCCCAGTGTGGTATGGATTCCGCCATCCTTTCTGCCGAATGTGGACTAATAACTGAGTTGAACGTTGAAGGATAGAGTCGATGCCGAGGCTTCCGCCAGAGCTGATGATTGTCGTCGTTGACGCTCTGCACGATGGCCTGTCTATTCCCGATCAAGCAACACGCAAAACCCTGACCGCGCTGTGCTCCTCGTCCCGCTTTCTCTACAACCTCGCCATCCCGGCGCTCTACTCTTCCATCTCCGTACGCGTCCCGAGAACATGCGAAGAGCTCGCGCGATCCCCGCACGTCTCAACCCATTTTGTGAAGATTTCGGTATCTATCCTTGGTCGCAGCTCAATAGCCATGATTTCTACGCTCACATGGAGACACTATGCTCGCTCCTCATCCATGCGCGCGAAACGCTGCGTACCATCATAATGGACCTTCAGTTCCGGTGGTTTGGAACCCAAGATGTTGGGCGCCCCGCCAAAAACCTCCTTGGCGATACGCTCAAAACTCTTCCTGCGGTAGAAACCGCCTTCAACTGCCAGGACGAATTCTTCTGTAACATCGGAAACGCAGTACGCCTGCACGTTGGCTACCCCTGGCGGCATTGGGAACGACTTCGCCGTCTTGCGTTGGAGGAACCCATAATCGAGGAACGCCTCTCATCTACGTGCCTAACCCTGCCTTGTCTCGAGGTTCTTGTCATGTACAATCCGACGTTCATCACGCGCGATGTCAGTCCGCTCGTCACGTTGCTCTCCGGATGCGACCCTCGATCTGATGGGCCGTTGACCGTCATCGCCATCACCGACCATACCGAGGTAGACATGTTCGCCGGCGATAGCGCTCGGCAAGTCCGTGACCTGGCCAAAACGTACCCGAATCTCCACCACGTCGGTACGCCCATGGACTTCCGAACGCGACAGGATCGCTCGCATGTCAGTCGGGTTTGGATCAGAGAACTGGCGGAGATAGGGTCACTATGGAACCTCTGAGGAAAATGCACATGCGGCTACTCCAACTCCATCCTCGCCTGTCTTTTCTTTATCCAGCTCGTGCCCCTAAACTTTGTCCGAACGGTACGGTATCCGCACCACGACGTGTCTTGACAAAAGGTCATTGTCAGCCCATCCGACATCACCCGCACCTTCGAAGGATGTGCACTTTTCATTGCCGTGTTTCAATACCGCGAACTCTCCCAATGTCCAGATGACGGACTCCCCCAATGTGAATATGAAGAATCAGATAGATAAAAATGAGCGGTATGCCTAGCGCGCGTATATACCGATAATCTATAAGGCTACTTCTCAAGGTCGTCGCTGCGGACCTTCCGATACTCGGCGCGCGCCGCGCCGCTGAAAACTCGCCTGGCCCACTGCACGCCGCCACAATACCAAAAGGCCGCAAGAGGGACGCCGATCACGAACATACCGAAGATGATGCGCCTGAACGGATGCGCGTCAGCGTACAGGTCGCCAGGAACCGGAACGTCGGCGTCGACCGCGTCGTCGACAGGAATGGTCTTATCGGCCGCAGTCGTGATCGGCGACGCATCCTTGACGGTGGTCTCCTCAGCGGCAGCAACGATCGTCGTCGTCGTCTTCTCAGGCGTCGCAGGGGCGGTGGCGATACCGAACACGGGCTCGTCTTCGCCGTCCTCATCAGCGTTTGCGTTTGCGCCGGCCTGTGATAACGGGGAAAGCAAAAGCCCTTTTATTGGCAAGATGTCTTTTTTAACAAACAAAGAAGGACGGGCGGCTTAGAGTTCCCCCTCGGCCTTCAGCGGTACCTGTTGCTCGACGGGAAGCTCGCCAGAGGCCGCGATGATGACATCCTCCTTCGGGCGGTCGGATGGACCCTTCGGGACGTTCTCTGCAGAACGAGTCAGAATATGAAGCATGGATTCTCAAAAATGCGACGAACCGATGGCGTGGACGATGTCCATGCCCTCAAGGACCTCCCCAAAGACAACGTGGCGACCATCAAGCCAGCCGGTGATGACGGTGGTGATGAACTACGAGGGTTGGGTCAGTTCATGCGAACTGAGATTGAGACGCTTCGACGTACAAATTGGGAGCCGTTGGTGTCCTTGCCAGCGTTAGCCATAGAGAGAAGACCAGGCTTGGAGTGCTTGAGCTTAAAATTCTCGTCCGCAAAACGGTCGCCGTAGATAGACTGAAAACATGTCTTAGAAAGGCTCCATCACAGGTCAAACTGAAGCCAACCTTTCCGCCAGTGCCATCTCCGCGGGCTGCTACCAGTCAGAGCATACTCTTAAGAAGGTGGCCGATATCACGCACTGAAGTCACCGCCTTGAATCCTACCAGTCCGCACATTAGATCGGTAGACACGACTGGTTAGATGTGGGAGACGTACATAAAGTCCTTGATGACACGGTGGAATTTGGAACCCTTGTAGCCAAAATCGGCCGGAAGTTCAGTGCCGTCCTTCTTCACGCCGGTAGCCAAAGCGCGGAAGTTCTCGACGGTCTTGGGAACAGTCTGCGCCAGTTATGAGTATGACGGAGGCCCGGAGAACGAAACCATACGAACACCGCCGTAGAGACCCATCACGACTGAGTTATACCATTAGTACACAGCTTCACGTTAACTAGAAGAGAGACGTACTACGCCCAAGATCCTTGTCGCCATGCTTGATGTCGAAGTAGACCTTGTGAGTGATCTTGGGGCCTTTCGCCGCCTCGACAGACTGCACCGAGAACAGCGCCGCAACTGTGACGAGCAAGACCGCAAGCGAAAGCTTGCTGAAGAACATGGTGAAGGAAGTTGAGAAAGGATGGGAGAGCTGCTGTCCCCGTACCTTGCGATCAAACCCCGGGAGACGTGGCGCGAAGGACTTCGATACACGTGATGAATTCCATCTTCGGCATTATTTCCTAGCATTGACTTTGCTGTGGGCTCTCTTCACGATGGACGATCTCGTACTCAACCTTGCTGAAGATACTGGGGTATCAGCTAAGAAAAATATCGCAAAGAAGGGTGGGAGATGGACTGATCGGCACGTAATACGCGTCCATAATTCATCTACTTCATTCGTTGACTCAATATATCTAGAGTTAAAGCTAAGCGGGTAGCCAAGCGGAAGGACAGGCATCATGACGGGCCCGCGCAAGCATCTAGAGAAGTAGAAGACTCTCCGAGGCCACCCAAAAAAGCTCGCATCACGCCTTCCACCGAACAGCCCTCTGCTGCCCAGGAAACTTTTATCACTCCCGCTTCCACACAAACTCGACCCCCGCATCAAATTATCTCGTCACTGTTCACTTCCAATCCGAAGCCGGATGTTCCTCTCCCTGCATCGAATGTTCCAAGTAAACCGGGGCGTCCCAGCAATGCGCCACTCATGGATATGTCGACTTTCACCGGGTTGGGCCTCGACCCCCTCATAGCGACCTTCCTAACCACGAAAATGAACATCGCGAAGCCTACTTCAATTCAACGAGCTGCTTTGCCAGCTCTGATACCACGCTCGGGAGAGGAGCCGAATACTAGGGATGTTTTCATTCAGGCGCAGACCGGATCCGGCAAAACCTTAGCTTTCCTCCTACCGATAATCCAGGACCTCTTGAGTCTCAGTACGCTATCCTGGATAGACCGGTCCATCGGCACGCTCGCGATCATCATCGCACCCACACGAGAGCTCGCGAAACAAATATACGATGTCCTGGAGGCCTTGCTGAAGATGCGACTCCGTCCCGAAGACGCCAACGCAGACGACCCTACCTCCCAGCGCATGACCCGCTGGATAGTTCCCGGCCTCCTCACTGGCGGTGCAGATCGCAATCATGAGAAAGCACGCTTGCGGAAGGGCGTACCTATTCTCGTCGCAACGCCCGGCCGACTTCTTGACCATCTACAGAACACATCCTCGTTCAACGTCGGAAAATGCCGCTGGCTTGTTCTCGACGAAGCCGACCGGTTGATGGAACTAGGCTTTGAGGAAACCATCACCGGGATCCTGAAAGCGTTGGAGGGACGACGAAAGCTCGCGATTCAGGCCGTCAAAGAGGGGAAGAGCCTGGAGCCTGGAGGATGGGACTGGGATCGGCGTAGGAGAACCTTGCTCTGCTCAGCCACGATCAGGGAGGACGTTCAGAAGTTGGCAGGCGTCGCGCTGAACGACCCCCTCGTCGTCAAAGCTACCGTCGGCGACAAGTCCGACAATGCGTCCTCCGCGACTCCGGCCGCCCTCACAGGCGACGAATCTGCCATTTCCACCACCACGAAGTTCACACCTCCCTCGCAGTTATCTCAGAAATACGTTGTGGTTCCCCTGAAGCTCCGCTTGGTAACGCTGGTAGCATTGCTTCGGTCGATCCTCGCTCAATCGGAAGGCTCGAAGCGGACGTGCAAAATCATTGTTTTCTTCAGCTGTACGGACTCGGTGGACTTCCACTGGCGGTTACTTGGTGGGACTCGGATGGGCGGTACTGATCAACAAGAGAAAGGGGATTCGGATGAGAACGAAGACTCTGACGACGAAGATGATGACACAGAGGGTGATAAGAAACCGCGATCCAAAGGCAGCCATGACGACGTGGAGGCCAAGTCTCCTCTCCTTCCAAGGGCATCCATCTATCGGTTGCACGGTTCCCTGCCTCTCCCCACTCGTCAAGCGTCCCTAAAGGGCTTCGCCCATGTGCCGCGGGACCAGTTGTCCACGCCCAATCATTCATCATCGTCAATTCTTTTCTGCACCTCCGTAGCCTCGCGCGGACTCGATTTGCCCTTCGTACGCGCTGTCGTCCAGTACGATCTACCCACAGAGGGCGGCGCGACCGAGTACATCCACCGTGTCGGGCGAACGGCGCGTGTCGGCAAAGGGGGCGAGGCGTGGAGCTTCGTACTACCGAGCGAAGTGCAGTGGGTGCAGTGGGTAGAGCGGAAGATGGCTGGTGACGCGACTGCAGGGGAGAAGCAGCGCGATCAGGATCAGAGCGTTAGTTTGCAGGCGGTCGCGAACGAAAGCGTGCTTAGCAAAGGCTTCTCCGGAGGGCCGTATCATGAGCGCGCGACCGAAGTGCAGCTTGCTTTTGAGCGATGGGTGCTTCGTAGTAAAGAGGTTAGTGACGTCGCCAGCTGTACTAAACGCTTAGCTGACTCGTGATGATTTGAAGCATCTGGCTCTTGCAAGTCAAGGATTCTCGTCCCACGTTCGCGCGTACGCGACGCACCCGTCGGACGAGAAACATATCTTCCACATTCGCAACCTCCACCTTGGACATCTTGCCAAATCCTTCGCTCTTCGCGAACCGCCCAGCATGGTGAAGAAGGCCAAACAGTCCGCGGCGAAGGCTGGCAAGAAGTCGAAGCCGGCGGATGGGGCAAAAAAGGCGAATTCGTCCGCAACGAAGCAACCCGAGGCTCATCGAAAGTCCACGAAGGAGAAGCAGAAGAACTGGGAAGAAGACCATGACAAGGATGCGGAGAAGCGGATGAGGGAGGCGGTTCGAGCGCAGGGAAAGACCCTGAAGAAGGCTGGCGTATTGATGAGCAACGACACGGGTGAGTTCCAGTTGGCGTCTGGCGACATGTTGGAGAAGCTGGTGCGCGGCGGGTGATCAAAACCCATGAACTCTGCCATTGTGCGCACAATGGCCGCCTCCCTGGATGAATTACTCGCATGTTTGCTGCGGGCCTAGGAGCGAGGGAACGACGTCGCAACACACTACCTTTCCTTGCCTTAGCATCAGCCCCACGGGCTCATGGTGGAAGTTGGTAACCTCGTGGGGGATCATAAACCATCGATCGAGGATTTCATCTGCAGCGCAATACCTGTACATCTGTGAACCTCGTAACATGGCTATGTAACCATGATTGTAACACTCGCACACCGGTACACTACTACTGCGGTCGAATTAACTGCGTCTACAACTGTGCAACAGGTGATTGCCAGTGCAGTGCCACATTTACTTTTGGCATATATCGTTTCTTCACTGCGACGGTCAATCAAGCTGGCCTACCAGTTATGAACGATATTACTATTGGGCCTGACGACATCTGACCGCAGTCCATCCTCAACCGGAACGTAACTGTGAAGATCGTTTCAGTGGACGAATACGTCGCCCGCAACCTCGGTCAACACAGCGAGGACTTCTTGCGCGGCTGGGCGAAGACATGCGATGGGCTCAGGCCCGGCGAAGCCGCACACATAGATCCGCTCTTCACTCAGATTCTCGACCGTGAGCCGCAGAGCCTGGAGCAATACTTGAGGGAAGCGCTGCTCAACGAGGGTGCTGGAAAGACACGATCACGCGGTATGCCTACAAATGATAGATAAGACTGTCAACCTATCTGTCGATATTCACATGTAACCCTGCGCCTGCAAACGCCACCAGTCGTAGGTAGATTTTTCCGCCTCTTCTTCCCGGCGTCGCTCTCCTGATTGTGCGATGGCACGGTTCTGTGCCTGTGGGGAGGACAAGGCCGAGCGCCAGACGGTGATATCGAGCGGGCCCGTGCGCCTACAGCCCCACGACCGCAAGTCTCCAGAGATTAGCTTCGGGAAACGTAGCCTGATCTGATTCCACTGTTCGCGGGTGTAGCTCTGCTCCTCGCAAGGTATGCTGTAGTTGAACTCGATACTGGCGTATGGGACCTTGGAAAAGTCAAAGCGCCACGCCTCCGGATCAGGATCCCATTCGGAGTGGAGGTCGACGACGATCGACCGAATAGATGGGTCATCAGGCTTGAAAGGAGGAGGGGCCTCGCTCAAAGGGCAGCGAAGCTCGATCGCCTTTGGTTTTCCGACGCGCTGCAAAAGGCCCGCCGTCCTTGAGTTGAATGTGCCAAGGCTGATGCTGTCCAAACTCAGTGTAGCATCGTCTTCGGGGATGTCCTCGAAGCCCTTGAGAGTGAGTTGGCGCAAATGCGTCTTCTGGCGGACGATGAAGCTCCAGAGCCCCGACGATAGGCTTGCAGGCCCGTACGAATCGTCGCATTCGAACTTGATGGAACTTAAGCGCGTGAACTGCATGCGCATCAACGCGTCCACCACCGCCTGAGGCACTGCGAATGCCGCGGGTCCGTCGAGCGTCAAGCGGCTGTCCCTGATTGTGAGGGTGCGTACGTACGCAGACTTGGTGCGCAGATGAGCGAGTCGGGCGGCGATGGCGGCGTCGTCCCAGTTTTCGAAGGTGACGTCTTTGTCCAGTGGCGTCAGGCGCTTCAAGGTGCGGTCGGGACCTCCCAAGCTCCCGAAGGTGGTCGCGCTCCATAGCGGCGTCTGGGGAGCCGTCAGGTGCCGGTCGGATGCGTTGTCTGCACCGGCATCTACGCCAGCGACGCGGAAGCGTAGGACGTAGTCGGCGAAGATCCAGTGAGCGGTGATAGCATTGAGGCGTTTGCATGTCATGGAGAGCGCATGCAAGGCGGCGGGACCCTGCGGTTGGCTGTATTCCGCATCACCGAGGTTGCATAGAATTTCAGCAACAGCGAGAAGCGACTCGGCCGGTAAAGAGAGTAGAGTACGGCGGCGACTCGCCATGCCGGCAGATAGAGTTCGTTGGGAGTGGCCGAGTAGTACTTCGAGAACGGATTACCTTCAGCATATATAAAGAAATAGAATCCGATTCGTGGCCTACACGACGTGGGTGTGGTGGGTCGCGATGTCAACGGTCGCAGTCCACAGTACAGAAAGGTCACCACGAGGCCGCGTGCGATACGTCCAGGAAGGAACAAAGAGACTAGGGAGTCACCAACAAGACGAACAGCATTACAGCAAACCTCAGGTTGAACCAGAGGTCCGATCCAAGAGCGAGAAGCAGCGGAAGTCTGTCTGACGCGCGGTTCAACCTGCGCGAGCGTCGACGATGTCGCTCGCGACACTCTCGCGACGTTGCTGCGGCTCGTGCCGACCTTCGACTCAACTTCGTCTTCATCGAAGACAACAATGGCCACAGTCGTCTTCAACTACGTCGAAGATGCCAACCCGAATCTGGTAGGCGGCCTTGCGACTTTGCCACGAGAAGCATTCACCAACCTGCGGTTGTACACTAGGTCTGTTGCATATGCCGGTGAGCGCTGGCACTGCACTCGCATTTGCGAAAGAACGTGAACGACGGTCTCTAGGGCACCGTTCGTGGAACCATGTACCACACGAACGTGCTCGCATACATTCTGCCGGCCCTGTATAATCCGATCGTTGGAGGTCTCCGAGCATTGCCCAGTCGACCGCTCGACACTATGCTTCGAGGATCTCGAGCCTCCGAACCCGCTCGTGCGCAACGTACGTCCTGTGCTCAACCTACGCCCTCATTCCGAACAGTCACTCAGTCGTGCCATAGCTCGTGGATGAGTTGGTAGTCGAGTGCCCACAACGATCTGCCGGATGCGATCATCGTTGTCAGCGACAATTACTGTCATCACACGTAGCGGAGTGCGAATACGTCGCAGTAGAGTGTCCGATTGAAGGGTGTTCGGAGGTGGTGCAGAAGAAGAACGCTACGCTCGACGTACATGAACGTCTTCACTGCGCCCAATCATCGGACGATGTGGGCAGCGAGGTTGAATCGGAGGTACGTCCGAGTCGTCACCATAGTGCTCCTCATTTTGATATCTGATTAGGACGAGGGTGAAATATTGCGCTGCGACTACTGCTCCGAGTCTATAGGCCGAATCACTGGACACCGATCGGACTGTCCACTCGCACCCACGCCCTGCACGCACGCCTCCTCTGGGTGCCCCTTCAACGGCACCCTGGCGTCTCTCCCTGACCACCTCCTCACCTGCCCATACGAAGCCATCAAGGGATTCTTATCACTGCAAGCATCCCGCGACGCCTCTCTCGCTGCCGAGAACGCGCGACTTCGGGAGGAAAATGCGGTGCTCAAACAACGTTTCGGCGCGATGGAAGGCATGATGGAGATCATGCGACGCGAGATGCAGGCTTTGAAGGGCTCGCTGGGGCCGTGGTACCGCCGTGATGTGGAGGGCGACTTATATGCGCCAACAACGACGACCTCCGAGGATTTCGGGGTGCCCGAAGTGGAGTTTCCGGAGGACCTAGTCGCTTCGCCTGACAGCTCAATACCCCCATCCTCTCCTGAACTGGTCAACCTTGCCGCCTATTTTCCACCTGCGCCAGCTGATGACGCGGGCAGCACTGCTGGCAGTCCCAGTGCCCCGCCTAGCTCACGCCGGCGCCAGAGCTTCACCCCGCTTCTACCAGGTGCCACCCCATACTCCACCAGCCCCATGTCCACGCAAACGCAGCTTAACCTTTACTCGCCCTCCATCGCGCCCTACTTTCCTCACCTTTCCATACCATATCACGCCCACGGATATGCCTCAAGTCCATCACAGGTGCAGCAGATCCAGACGCCGGCGCAGACGCCGCTCTCCCACGCTTCCTCCGTCGCGCCTCTCAATCTTTCCACGTCGCTGGAGGGAACGCTGAACGGCCTGCGCGATTCGATCGTCGCGCTTGCGTCAGCGCTCGATTCTGTGGGAAGGCGGAGCGAATTGACGCTTGCGACCGAAACCCTGAGGCTCAACGAGGACATCGGAAGCGTGCGCGCTGTCCTCCACGGGCTTCGCATGCAGGTGAGCGTTGCTGAAGCTTGCTCCCCTCCTTCGCCGTGGGCAAACTTTTGACAAACTCTTCTTTCCAGGTGCATTCGATTATGATGGACCGCAACGCTCAAGTGACCGGGCGCCCGAATGACGCACCTTCGGGGCCAGCGCGGCTGGTCCCAGGCATGGGCGCCGCCCTTCATCCGCCGATGCCGCTGCCGTCCCCGTTCCCGAAGCTCTGAACGACGCAGTTTTGCTCGATGGCACGCGGCATCGGGAGCGGCAATGGGGAGAACCTACAAATCTCGGCGTCTTCGGGGTGGAACGGGGAACGGTCTTCGATACATTGCCAGGAGCTCGCTCCTCCCTTCGCATTGATGCAGGCGACCTTACCTTTTTCGCAAGGGATCGTTCCGCGATGTGGAATTACCTTGGTAGGCTGGTTCAGGTCGAGCTGAGCTAGAGCCGAGCAAAGCGCCGAGGCGGTCTTTGCCCTCCGTTGCGTTCCGCATCGACGCGGAAACCGGCGGCGGAGGAGAGTAGGGGGGGCAATGCAAAGCGGCTGTTGGATCGTCAGTCATGAATCTTGCGCGTTGGTCCCACAGACCGGCGCTTGACCTGAATAGGTGATCGCCGAGCTCTGGGGCTACTCATAGTAACAACACCAAGTGTGCCCTACCACCCGTGTCCGCTTATTCGTCTTGTATATTGCACGCCACGTATTCAGATCTTCGATTAGAGCGCAGCCATCAGGCGACGTTATTATGTTCCTGTTTTCTACTTAGTACGCGACTGATTGCATGAGGGCGATTGGCATGATGGGCTCAGGGAGCCGCATGTCCGAAGAAAACGGACCACGGATTGCTACGATACTTTGTCAGGACAACTGAGGCCAATTGCACTCAAGGTGCGGATAGACGGGTGCTTTGTGAAAGGACTATCCTCAGGTAGGTAGGTATATATTACCGGGCACGGTCCATAAACAGGAACAGCCCTACACCGGTGTTTCGCGGCTTTTGTGGACCACGTAAGCCGACACACCGCTACGCACCGGATGGAAAAGTATCGATATCTAATGCATGTAATACATACTCTATGTCGTACTACAACGTTCAGAGCTCGAGTCACATAAATCATACCTGTCATAGTCCGCGAGAGCAATCTATTCAATACATTCGTCAAAGTCAGGCTCGTCTGGGTCCTCAGGATCATGCACTCCGGGCTCGAAATCGGCATTGTCTCGCACACTGTAAGCTTCGGGAGGAGGTTGAAATGCGGGTGCTGCATAGTACAGTTGCAGGACGTCCTTGGCATATCGAGCAGTAGTGGGCGTGCAATCCTGTAGAGCCACCGCATTCTGCAGGAACGCGATGGGATCTCTCGCAATCAAACCGCGCAGTGCCAGTGTGGGCTGTGAGCTGCATTCAAGAGTTGACGCAACTTATCGCCGCCAGTACTGACCCTTAATTCTCGCATCTCGCGTCCATGTCTTGATCGGTGTCTGTTGAGTACTACACAACGAGGGTAGTAACACACAGAAGCGTATATCGAGTCCAGGGAAGTCCGGTGACGATGACAACTCGACGTGTAAGTCATGAACCCTGCAAAATATACCACCTTCATTCACATGATCATACCAGCAGTCCAGGCATGCCCGCCCAGAATCCACATAAGCCCCTCTCTTCACTCATCGCCGCTGCTCACCAGAACGTCTCAATTTGGAGTGTTGCTTTTGAATATCGACCTGTCCAAACCTCGAGCCGCGTTGATGGGATGCAGTGCATTGGACGCAGATTGCGAGGATCCAGCTGCTTGTTCCCGTTCGGGCCTGAGTTCCGCTATCACATCGCTTCTTACATTCTACTCGCAGGCTTCCGCACTGAACCTTCGTACCATTCACGATTCTATGTCATCCTCAGGCTCTGAACCGTGCTTCGTATATGAGGTCGTCTGATGCGCCGAAGATATGCGTCTAGCTTGCATCAATCCTGCCAAACTTGCTATCGTAAATGTCTTTTCCCGGCGCATCCCAGGTGGTCCTGACTGCGACGTACTTTTATCAGAATACCGGGTGCCCTTCTTGATGCCAATTTCATGAACATGCATATGGTAAAGGCGAATTCTCGGCTGATACTCCATGCAGCGGCGCTATGTATCCAACACGAGGCGGCGTCGTTTATCTAGGCCATGGCTGATATATGTGGCTCATCCTCGCCCTAGCGACTGCGCTTCGGTCCAGTCATCCCACAGGAATGCAGCTCCCGACCTGGTATACGTACGTCTCTTTGCAACACCGGCCGACACCCATAATGACATGACCTGGATTAGGAGGCCAACAACGCAGGTGGTGCTGATGGGCATCACCTGTTTTGCGACTCCTGGTATGTACAGCGCCCTTGGAAATCTCGGCGCAGGAGGTACGCAAAACGTATCGCTCGCGGACACATCTACGGGCGTGCTGTACGGATTTTTCGCGCTCGCTGGCCTGATCAGCGGAGGCATCACAAACAGTATATCATTTAATTGCGTGGCTCCATCTATTTGATTCCGTTGCGTTCCAGTGCTTGGCCCACGGCTAACACTTTTCTTGGGTACCCTCGGATACGCCTTATACACTGGGGCGCTCTGGTGGTATGCTACTTGCCCTATGAAGCATGTGAGTGGCTTACTGGATGTTTTTGTGCTACAGCTATCAGACGCAAGGCACCCGATGGTTTCTTATTTTCTCAGGCGCTGTGTTGGGTGTTTCCGCCGCACTGCTCTGGTCCGCACAAGGAGCCGTGATGATGTCGTACCCCCTGGAGAAGGATAGAGGGAAGTCGTTCGCCATCTTCTGGGCAATCTTTTCGTTTGGCTCCTTCATTGGATCAATCATTGCTCTCGCTATCAATATCGAGAGCGGGAAGCTGAATGCGGTCTCCACGAGCACCTACATTGTATGTCCCATCTTTGGAGCTCTTCACTAACATCTCAACGGTGGTCACGCAGGCATTTCTAGTGATCATCTTCTGTGGCGTGGCGTCGTCCCTCCTGATCCTACCACCCGATCGCATCGTCAGAGGCGATGGCACGCTCGTCACTGCCCAGAAGCATTCGTCGATCAATACGGAGCTGATCGCGATGGCTCAGATGTTCACCGACTGGCGGGTCGTCGCTCTGATTCCTATGTTCTTCGCGTCGAACTATTTCTACGCTTACCAAGGCGCGATCAACTTTGGCCTATTTGACAGTCCTACGAGAGCCCTGAATGGAACGCTTGAAGGTGTCGGGGCCATTGTTGGGGCGCTGATGATCGGTTGTTTCGTCTTGGACGACCCTACGTCAAGAATCAAGTTTAGTCGTGCGTTCATCACAGGTGATGCCAGATATTCTCTTTGATCCTACATGCCTAGGCCGCACTCGTGGATACATCGGGCTCGGCGTCGTCGTTACGATCACCATCGTTGTGTGGGCGGTAGCTCTGAGCTGGCAAGTGACATTCGATCGCGCGGATGCAGCCAGAATGCACGCCGAGGGCACCCTCATCAATTATCACGAAGGGAGGTATCGAGGAAAGGCGGCCTTGCTATTCTTTTGTAGGCTCAAATCATGACATTAATCAAGGACCGCATGCTGACACACCTATGCAACAGATTACTTCAGCGATGCATGTTATCAGGCGCTTGCCTATTGGATCATGAGCGCAATCACTAATGATCCCTTTCGCCTTGCTCGCTTCGCCGGTATCTACAAGGCCATTCAGTCCGCCGGTGGCGCTGGCTCTTTCGGCATGGACGCCGTCGCAACGCCGTACTTTAACGAGCTCGTGAGTCTTGCCTGCTGAGCCAGTGCTCGTGCGTTGTGGTTTTCTCACCATATGGCAACACTTCAACGCAGCTCGCAAGCTGGATCCTCATGCTCGCCTCATTCCCGCTTGCCTTCCTCGTCATCCGCACGGTTAAAGAATCTAACTACGAAGATGAACAAGTCGTGTATGTCGGCGATGTCAAACACGGGGCCGTGGAAGCTGGTGAACTCAACTCGCCACCGGTCGAGGAAGAGAAAGCGAGCTCGTCCAGTATCGATGCATGAAGGCATCCAATGTACAGTCGTGATTCGAGTTCCTACGAAGCTTATACTGTTCAAGAACTGTATATCTGATGCATCGAAATAGGAGTCACTGAGGCTATTCACGACCGGCAAGCAAGTTCCATCGCAGGATGTGAATAAGTCACACGTTGTATGTTACGTCGTGATCAAACGGCATCGCCCTGCCGCCTGAGTTTCCACATATTAATTGATCCTGGCTGGTGGGACGAAAGAATTTAGACCTTTATCTCTCTGAGCGAGCGGCTCTTTGATGCCCGGTGTGGCTATAAGTTTTTAATGCCATCTGCCATATCTTGCGCATCGGTACGTATTTTTCAATGCGGGTCCACTTGGAAGACGCTATTCACGTATGCACAGCTGGAAAATCTCGGGGCATGTTGAGGTTCCTGTTCTTGGCCGGATCTAACGTTTCTACCGAGTAGGAAACCCGTAAGACGAGGTTCATCCGGTGAACTCGCGTTCAGCACTCACGGAAAGCCCAGAGGGCCCAGTAAGTGATTCCATCTACGATGTGCAGCCACAACGCCCGGTCTGCTCAATCCGACCATGCTTTACGAACGCAACTTCGTCGCCGCCGCGCTCACCTTCCAAGGACCACCCTTACTTGGGTTACACGACCGAGGTCGAACGGTACAAGCATGGGCTCGTCGGGGCGCTTTCACGTGACCGCAGAGATATACGAGCCGTGAATGTATCGTTATGTATTTAGACAACAGCCAACAGCCGCCCAGGTCGATTTGTAGGAAAGTAGTGCGATCCTGCAAACCGAGGATCGCTTCCGCCAAGTTGATGCGGCCATACCGTAACTCGTAAGTACGTGGAAGATGAGGTGACGTCACCGCTACGACGTCGTGTATGCACCTTCGCCTCCGGCTCTCACAACATCTATTCTTGCTCCCCTGAGATGCCGATCGCAGACTTACGAGTGGTTGCAATAACGGCCGTCGCGTCCATAGTCGTCCTCGGAACGGCTTACAGCGTCCAACACAACACCTACCTCGACACCTCCAACCCGCACATCACCTCCTTACCGCACCCGCTCCACGCTTCGCACTACTTCGCCAGCAAGTCCAACCCTCTCAATGTCTACTTCATCAAGAAAGCCTGGGGTTGGACGTCGCTCGCGTTCCTAGCTCTGTTCTTCACCCTTCCGCCGTCGGAAGGCTCCATCGTGACGGCGCGGTCGAAGGCGCGGGGGAGGCTGTTGAAGTGGCTGGTGGAGACGGCTGTGTGGGGCGCGTTCGTGGGGTGGTTCTTTGGGCCTGCGCTGTTGGAGAGATTGATTGCGGCTAGCGGGGGCGAGTGCGTGGTAGTGCTCCCGACCGGATACGTGTTGCAGTTGCCGGTCGAGGCGTGCCTCCAGAGTAGCGCCATCAGCCCTGCGACGCATCCGAGCCTGTTTGCGGCGAGCTTGATGGTTCCCGAAGTGGAGACATGGAAGGCGAGGCCGAGGCTGAGGAGGGGGCACGACGTCTCGGGTGAGTGTTGTGCGCAGTACAGCTGGACGAAGTGGTTGATTGATTTGCTCCAGGACACGTCTTTCTTTTGACTATGGGGTCGCTTTTCCTGGTGGATCAGATACGAATGTCGCTCGCAACCAAGGGGTGCGTTTCCATCCTGGTCTCAATGTATCATGGCGGGACTGAGTTGAGATATTCACAGTCGCTGGAGCCAGGCGCATAAATATGCCGTCTCATTCGCCGCCGTTGTCCTCGGGCTGTCCCTGTTCGCAGTGTACACGACCAGCATATACTTCCATACGCCATTGGAGAAGATCAGTGGTTTAGGTGAACATGTGTCCGATTTTGGCTTCATACGAAGGCTGACTTTCCCTTGCCCTCTCAGCACTGGGCGTTGCGGGATTTATCGCCTGTCAACTTCCCTGGTTCGAGCCCGCGCCATTTTGGGGAACGTCGACCTTCCCCTCAATCGCTCCCTCACCAGCACCGGTTCAGATTGAGCAATGACGAGAGCCGCTGGTTGCCACGACGCCTCACGATCCCCGTTGTTTCACTTCACGACGCTAAGAAGACTTCGCAGCAGATGGACATGCATGAGAGCCGCGATTGATGCCGATATACCGCTAGCAATGTCTGATATTGACCAACATGTATTAATTGCGCAAGGATAGTGGACTGGTACAGAGGATGTGTGCGATGTTGCGTGCGACGGCGGCGCCGGGACCGAGGAACTCACCGAGACGTAGCCAGATTGGTCTGGCCCTGACTAGGGCACCCGCATGCGCTTGCGGCACCGTGGGCTATCCATGGCGACGGAAGGCCCAAGGTGGTGGAACATTGTAGGTACCCGATTGCGATATGTTTGTCTAGGGATCGCGCGCGTTCGGTACCGTTCAGCTAGGTTCAGCCATTCATTCGACCTCGTGTGTCGCTCAGTCCGGTCCCAGGCACGGCATTGGCGGGTGCCGCGCTCCCGTTGCGAACCGAGTCGGTCTCAGACGATCGCACCACGAAGGGCTTCAAGTGACTCAAGAACTTGACAGGGCCTAAAGCTACAGGTCCTGATTCACAGCGCACCGGGGCCTGAGCGCAGCTGTGGAAGCATCGAGGATACGACCAGTAGGAGTATAGACTGATCAGTATCGTAGCTGCATATGACACTGAGTCGCTCAGGTACTGAAAAATATTGAGACAGCCCACCCATAGCAACGTCGCTGCAGCTCGATGACAATCGCGGGGCCCGGTCCTGAGCGCATCATCATCACTCGTTGCTGAACGCCGTGCGGACCGACGTCTGCGCAGGGAAAAAAAGCGCATGTGTGCCATGTAAGTATGCGTTGCAAAAGCTGCGCCGGAGACACGAGGAGCCTGAAGAGGTTGCTGTCCATTGTCCTGCGGGCGACGACCGCAGCCACAATGCGGAAGCATCTCCTGATCACCCTGAAACCAAATCAGGCGACATGTGGCACAAAAAGAAGGCGGAGTGGTGGTTGAACACGGTCACCTGACGCGTCCCCGGCGTGATCCCGTTGACTCCCCAAGACCGCCGCCATTTATCCCACGGCAATTGGCCCCCTTCTTGTGTAACGCTCACGACGCAACCGCCCGTTATCGACAACGACGGCGGCTCTCTCTTGTTTTCGACTACGACGACGACAACGACAAAAAGCCGAAAAAACACATAATCTACACGCTCTTTATTATAATCGACCATGCTTGCCAGTTCTCTTCAACCGCAGCCACACTACTCAGCCTTCCGTGCTCCACGCGATTCCAGCAATTCTCCCTCGTGCCGCTCAGCCTATAACAACAACACGACGTCACCTCTGCTCACCCCATCTCCTTTGCGCCAGCGACAATCTTCGTTTGCTACCTCTGAGGACGCCATGTTCCTACACTCACCGTTTCGATCACCCAATCCGCGCCACGATTTTGACGACGAGGACGGAGGCGCATTCTTCGCATCCCCGACCATCCAACCCATGCGCACGCCACTCCGGCCGACCCTCAACACGCGACAACTCAATCAGGAGTCCCCGTTTTCCAGCACTCGAGCGGTCCTGGGCACGAAGCGCAAGCCGGGGCCCGCCGGCTCCCCCATCAGCCTCCTCACCCCGCTGACCACGACAAAGGGCGAATCGTCCTTCGATCGCCTCGCTCCCCTACCAGCCCCGCTATTCAGCGGGCGGACACCCCGGAGCACCGCGGAGACGGACAGCTTCCTGCAGCGCCAGACTCGGACGATGACGCGTCTCAATATTGGGGAGCTGGGAGTGGAAAACATGGGGGACGTGACGGAGTCGGAGGACGAGCTCGGAGCAGATGTGCGAGTGGACTTGTTCGCCGCCGCGCGCAGTTCGGCCAGGAAGGCGGAGCAAGACGGGGAAGAGGTGGCGGAAGCGATATCGCCTGACGGACGGGTGACGAAGCGTCGTGCGCGCTCGCGACCGGTGTCCGCAGAACTCATGGAATGTGCGAAATCTCCGTCACTCTTTGCGCCTAGTGTGAGTGTCTTTTCCCGTGGCAACGCGGCGTTTCATCAACTGACGGCTGTATAGAACGCCTCGCCTCGCGTTACGCCGCTGGTCTTTCCCAAGCTGGACTTCAACCAAGACTCACCCTCCATGACTCGTTTCCGGACCCGCCAGGACTCGTTATCGTCCCATTGGTCCCCATCATCCTCGTCCGACATGGGTTCCCCAAGCCCACGTCAGCGCTCGCGGGCGTTGCACACCCTGACCAGCAATGCTGTCGTTCGCCGCATTCCCATGGACAGGATGGCTAGTACCAGCTCGGCTACCTTATTCTTTGGTCCCGCGATACCTGTTGATCCGAAAGATCGTACCAAGAACCGTCGATCCCTGGTCGACACCGAGGGAAACGGTTCCAAAACCGGTTTCTTGAACAATCCCTCCGGCGTGACTCAACCTCCTACGTTCTCCAACCCCGAACGCCATGGGCTCCCCAACCGTCACAGCTATGCTGGGTTCGGCAGTCACCCGACCTGGCTCAACTCGCCTTCGACGTCTCCCCACAAACCCGTCCGATCTTCTACCGAAGGTGCGGTGCCTCAAACGAGGGAGGACGCCGACGAGGACATGTTTTTCTCCGGCGCAAGCGACAATTCGTTCTCGTTCAGCTTTGATTCTCCCGACAAGCATGGGCGACGGCCCAGTCTCCCGTTGAAGTTCAAGGATTCGTCGGAAGACTCCGGCGTCGTCCTCAGCGATGAGGAACGTGGCCCGAGCTTGCTCGAAGGCCGGAGACGCAGCGCTCGTTTGACTCTCCCTAGCGCGTCGACTAGCGTCAGTACCATCCAGACTCAGAGCAGTGGCGACGAGAACATGTTCGCCAGTGGCTTTGTCACTCCTCTCGAACCTCATGCGCACTCGGGTTGGCCGACCGTGGTCGGAATAGCGAGCGATGACGATGACGAAGTTGATGACCGCTCGACCGCCAGTCGTGACTCGCAGGTGGTCGATGCGTTCATCATGCGTGCGTTGGCTACCGGCGCCAAAGATACCGGGCCGAAGAAAGCTCCCGGTACTCCGACGAAGAAGAACAAAACGTTTGTAGGTGCCAAACGGCCGTGGCAGAGCGCCGTTGCGCAGAAGATCGGTCTGAAGGGTTTCGGTGACGATTCCGAGGACAAAGGGAAATCAGTGAAGAAGAAGGCACCGCGGAAGAGCATGCCTGCCGTGTTCGGCCTCTCTGCTCACGCGAAAGAGAAGAGTCATGTCAGCGACGACGAGGATGACGAGGACGAGCTGAGTCCGAGCTCGCGGAAGGCCGGGACCAACTTGTACGCTGGTCTGGGTCTGGGTCGTCCCTCGGGCGCGAAGCCACGGCACAGCAATCAGTCGAGCGTTGGCAGCGTCGCCGGGCGGGCCAGGTGGCTCATGCGCAGGAGCAGCAGTGGCGCGTTCTCGTTCTCGAGCGGTAGTGAAACAGGTTCGAACGTCGGAACCCCCATTGGGCTCAAGGGCCACAGTAAGTTTCCCGTCCCTGGCCTTGTGGCGCCCTCGCATCCAGGCACGGAGCTCACGATAACCCGATGTTTGCGTACAGACTGGCGCTTACCACCGCCTCCCGTCCCTGCCTTCAGCCCGGCTCGAGCACAGCCCGCCGCGCTCCGTTCCGGCTCTAACACATCCACCTCCAGCGGGACGGTCACCACGGGTTTGACCTCTCCGGTGCAGCGCAAGTCTCGCGTGGAGCAGGGTCAGCCGAACGCCGCTCCGCGCACACACTCGCGAAGCCGATCGATGCACCCGCCGCCCCGCCTTTCTACGGCGGAAGAGCGGCCTGGAAAGTTTGAGCGCGACTTCGAGGTGATCAATGACCTGGGCAGCGGAGAGTTCGGCAAGGCCTCCAAAGTGCGATACCGAAACTCTGCGGATGCCCGGGTGTTCGCGATCAAGAAATCTCGGAGGTTCGAAGGAATGAAGCACAGGTGAGCGCTTTGGTATTCATAGCGTACAGAGGCGCGGAGATCAGTCTCGTCGTTACCGCGGACGAGTGTATTTTTGCTCGTCCGTGGAGTTCCCCGTCGATTGATGAAGGATGGGAAATCGTGCTGATCGTTCTGTTTCTGACTCTAGGCTCCGATTGCGAGAGGAGGTCGATGTCCTTCGCCATCTTTCGCAGGCTGCGCGAGAGGAGGGTTTGGGCGACCATCACCCGAACGTGCTTGGATACGTTGATTCCTGGGAGGAGGACGAGACGCTCTTCATCCAAACCGAGCTGTGCGACATGGGAAACTTCGCTCACTTCCTGTGGGAGTACGGCCGAGTTTTCCCACGGCTCGATGAAGGCCGCGTCTGGAAGATCCTTGCCGATCTGAGCAATGTAAGTTTCGGTTCACGTCATGCCCCGCTCGTTCCCCCCGCTTCGCTGTCGTGTGTGCATCCGCACGGCGTTATGGTGGACGCTCGGGGCGATGGTTCTTCCTGTACAGTGCAGATAGATCATGATGCTAACGGCCGCCGAATCGACAGGGCCTCCGGTTCATCCACGAACATGGCGTACTGCACCTCGATTTGAAGCCGGCGAACATCTTCTTGACCGGTGAAGGCCGATTCAAGATCGGAGACTTTGGTATGGCGACGCTGTGGCCGCGCCAGGGCACTGCCCAGGTCGGGTTCGAGCGCGAGGGCGACAAGGTTTACCTCGCTCCCGAAGTGCTTCAGGGCCGGTATGGGAAGGCAGCGGACGTGTTCAGGTATGTGCTCGACCGCGGCGCTCACGCCCGCGGAAGTATCGTTATCACGCTCACGGTTTCACTCACGCACCTTCTCGCTCCGCAGCCTTGGCGTAATCATGCTTGAGGCGGCTTGCAACATCGTCGTGCCTGACCAGTGAGTGTCGCGTTCCATGTCTCGCTCCGCTTAGGTTTTAGCGCAGGAACGCTAATCGAGGGTCTATTCCGTGTTATTTTTCTTCTTTATTGCAGAGGCGAACCTTGGCAGCGGCTTCGGCAGGAAGACTTTAGCCAGGTGGACCTGGACGAGAGCCCGGAGCTCCTAGGCGTCATCAAGGGCATGATGCGCACCGATCCGGCCCTGCGCGTGACCGCGCGGACCGTGTGGGCGCATCCGGTCGTGGCGCGGGCACGGGCGGCGATGGCGCGCACGCGGGAGGAGGCGCGGCGGAAGGGCGCGAGCCTGTTCGCGGCCAGCCCGCTCGCGGGCGATCCCGAGGGCTTCCTGGAGGCGATTTTAGGCGCGGGAGGACGGAGAACGGCGGAGGCGGATGATGGGGGCGCTGCGATGGACGTTGACGCCGATGCGTGATGGGCTCCACCGTCCGCGAAGGAAGAACAGAAGCGCGGTGCGGGTGTGGGTACCGCGCCGGCGGCGGCGGATGCGGATGTCGTACGTGCCCGTCGCCGAAGTCGACGAAGAGCCGGCGCGGGGGAGCGCTCTCGACCTATCGATCGAGTGCTTGCCTCCGCTGATCGCCTATCGCCCATCTTATCTTCGCCATCTCAGACATGAGCGCGGCATCGTGCATCTCACATCTTGCATCTCGGCTTCTTCTTTGTGTCTCTCCGCCACAACGCCACTGGCCGCTCTCCCTCCTCCCTCTTTTCAGTCGCTCGGGTCCCAGGCGAAGGCTGTTTGTTCCGCTGCGGAAATGGTTGTTATAATTTCTCGGTTTTCACTCTTATGGTGCTACGTTTTCTGGGTTTTGGCTCATCGATCGTTTGTTTGTTTGGCATACAGTTCCTCCCTCTCTTTTGGTTCCCGTCCCATCGCACGCAACTCTTGATATTAATCTCCATCGCATCCAAGCACAACCACGCACCGACCACTCGCACGTACGCATACGCACCATCATCAACTCGTACATCTATGCCGCCTTTTACTTGTTTCTTTCAAACCGTATCTTGGCTTTGGCTTTGGCTTTCTTCTGGGGCCCTTCCGAACCGAGCAAAAACTTTTCTGTACCCCCCCCCCCTTTCCTCCCCCGTGGATCCGTCCGTCGTCGATACTCTCTCTCTCGCATGCAAACATTCAAACGCAACATCTCTCTCCCACCGCCATATATCTCGCGCACTCGTCTTTCGGTTTGGATACCCTCTCTCTCTCTCTCATCTCACCTCGCTCTGTTTGTCGATTTGTCGCGCACCATCCATCCATCCCCGTCCCTTTCTGAAATCCCATAATGCCCCTCGTAGTTATATATATATATATATACAGTAGATAAAACGCAAGCCCCGTCGAACCACTTTATGCATGCACATGTTTTTTTCTCCCTTCCCCGCCCCCGCCCCCTTTTTTTTCTTCTCTTCTTTTGTCCGGGTAGTTACCAGGAGTATATCATGCAGATAACAGAGATGAAAAAATGACAAAAGACGAAGGTGGATCACCTGGTCCGCCGTTGTTGGTGGAGGGATTCGAGGGCGGGCGTGGGGGAACGGAGGGTGTTGTGCGTCCCTCTCTCGGCGTGGATTTTTTTTTTTTTCGTTCCGTGGAGATGAATGAGGTGCGCGTGGGCGGGCTGGGAAGTCGATGCCGCCAGTGTGTGTAGGGTTGTGTATGGGGGGGTTTTTTTATAGAAAGACTTTGACTTTTCGTGTGTACGTTGGACCGTTTCGCAGGTGATTTGTCGTGCATGGGATTCGATGGTGGTGGTGGTGCTTCTAATCTCTCTCTCTCTCACTCTGTGTGTCCGATGAAACTGGAATGAATGAATGAGAGGCTCGCTGGGGTACGTACCCGGGGAGGTGGACGCCGCCAAGGGTTTTCCCGAAACTTTGCGCGAATTTTGAATGGTGGGTTATTTATCGTTTGGGTTATACTTACCTAAGGCGTTTTTGCACGGGATAATCTCTCTCGGCGTCGTTCGTGCGCCCTTTCCAGGGTCTCTCTCCCCTCCACTATGGTTACGTAAGTATACGTAGCCTTTAAGACGACGTCTGCTGTTCGAACGGATGAAAGAGAGAGCTTTTTTTTGAAAATGATTATCATTATCATTGTTAACGAAGAACGACGGGACACGACCCCGCACCGGATCCCTCTGTGCTAAAAACGCCAGAAGGAACGCGCGTTGCGAATATGCGGGTTTTCAGATGGCGCGCGCGGCGTGGGGTGGCGGGTGGGGGCGGTTGGATAAGAGCCCAGAAAGCACAGGTGCCCAAGGGGTGGGGTCTAGGCGCGGTGACTGCATGGGAGCGTGGTAAGGTCGGCGTGCTCGGAGGGACAGGTAAGTAGGGGCCGAGAGGGTTGTTCGTGGACGCCGGTTGGCTGGGGCGGGATCTGGCCAATGAGGTGGGATTTGGGCATGAAGGAGGTTATCGAACGGGATGGGTTATCACGCGTCACGAGGGGAGGGTGGGGTAAAAGGGGGGAGCGAATGAGAAGCGGCGGCCAATGGCCGTGCGCGAGGGTTTAAGCCAACCAGAGGGGGGGGAGGGGGAAAGCCGTTCGTTTCCGGAACGAAGCAAAAGCAAGAGAAGTGTTGGGAGACCCGGGTGCAGAAGGGCTGCGGTGCTTTACCGGGTAAGGAAGGAGGGCGTTTGATGGGATGCGATTGGGGCGGGGGAGGCGGAGGGGGGCGGATCTGAGCTGCGAGTCGGGGATCGAGCTGAGCCGGTCATGAGGGGAAGGAGTGAGCGGGCGCGGATCGCAGTGGTCCCGGGGCGGCGCGAGGCAGCGTGGTTGCCGTCGTGGGCGGGTTTTGCTTTGCGTTTGTGGGGAGAGGCGAGGGTCTCGTCGGGGTGGTGACAGCGTGATGGATTGGCGTCGGCGGGGGCTAAGGTCGAAGGGGACGACCGAGGACGCCACGGTGGAGGTCGGGTACATAGTCCTCGCCGTAGCGTGCATGGACGGTCGGCGGTCTCCTCTCGATACCCTCGTCTCCCCCTCCTCCCTAATCGCTACTTACGCTCAGCGCCTAATAGTCGTCCCTGCCCTCCGTAGCGCACCGCATTCGCCAGGCGACTTTGCACCGGGGAGCGTGAACCTGAATCAGGTCGTGGGCCAAGGATAGGACACCGGCTCGGCTCGGGCACAGCAACTGGTTGCCAGGAACAGGTTCGGCTGCTGTTCGCTCGCGGCGCTCTTAGGGCCCAGGCGGAGGAGAGCACGCGCCCCGCGACGTTTTCCCTCTGTCTGCCCCGTTGAACGGCCCCGTCTGACGTTTTCGCTCGCCTGCTCCCTCCGCCTTCGCTTCTTGCTTCGCCTGCGCGCCTCTTATCCGAAAATATAATACGCCGGGTTCGGACGCCCCCCGATTTCCCGCTCGCCTTCATCAGCCCAAACTCTTCGCGCTCGCTGGCACGGACGTACATAAAACCCCACCCAGGCCGAGATGCACCCTCTCCGATCCTTCGCCCCGACGCTCCACGCTCCTTCCGACGACGCCGACGCCGCGCCGCCACCACCCCCACCGCCGTTCTCCGCGTCCTCCTCCGCCGCCGGCCCCCACCATCCGCCCCCGCCCTCCTTCCACGCCCGCGCGCTCCTCCCCGCCGACTACGACTACACGCGCTCGTGCATCCCCCACCTCCTGCCCGGCATGGACCCCGCCGCGGTCGACTTCCGCACCTTCTACCCTTACATCCCCAACGAGGTCAAGCACCGCAAGCGCACCACCAAGGCCCAGCTCCGCGTCCTCGAAGACACCTTCGCGCGCGACACCAAGCCCAACGCCGCCCTCCGCAAGAAGCTCGCGGCCCAGCTCGAGATGAGCCCGCGGGGCGTCCAGGTGCGTTTCTCGCGTCGGAACGTCCCCGACGTTTCTTCTTCTTATAATAATGGACGCTGACGATGAAACGCTTTCTCCTCGATCGCGCCGCAGGTCTGGTTCCAGAATAGGTGAGCGCCCCCTCGCGTATAAGAGTGAGACGTTTTTGCTGATCGACGTCCGATCCCTCTCACCTCCTTCCTCTCCCCCCCCCTTTCCCACTTCCCTCCCATGACCAGACGCGCAAAGGAAAAGCAGCTCGCGAAGAAGATCGCCGAAGGCAAGATCCCCAACTCCAAGTCCGCCGCGGCACTCGCCCTGGACCTCGACAGCGGCGCCGACGCCGACCTCGACTCTCTCTCGGACGGCGCCGGCGCCGGAGACTCCCCCGCCTCGCGCCGCGGCAGCGTCGCCAGCATCGCGCTCCCCACCGCCTCCATCTCCATCTCCCCGCCCACCGCGGACCTCCTCCACCCGCAGCACCCGCACGGCGCGGTCGCCATCCCGCCCTCGTCGCCGTGGCCCGGCTCGCTCGAGTCCTCGCCGGTGCACACGCCGTCGCCGCCGCTCTCCGCGCTCCGCCGCGGCTCGCTCCCCGCGATCGTCTACCCGCCGCAGAGCCCGTACGCGGACGAGAACGCGCCGCGCCACCACCCCGCGTGGGCCGACGCGCTCGGCCGCCGCCGCTCCGTCGACGCGTCGCTGCACCGCCTCGCCGCGCACCCGTACGCCCACCTCGCGCGCGCCGCGAACGACAAGGTGTTCCAGCCTCAGCACCAGCCGCACCTCCTCGCCATCCCGCCCTCGCGCGGGTTCCACCAGCAGCAGCAACAGTTCGACGACGCCTGGCACGCGCAGGGTGGGAGGCCGATGCTGCATCACCGCGCGTCGGTCCCCGTGGCGATCCCGCCGCCGGTCGCGCCCGTGCTGGAACAGCGCAGGACGAGCATCGCGGCGTTTGGAGGGCACGGGTCGGGGTCGGGGTCGTCGTCGTCGTCCAGCCCGGACGGGCTCTCGAGCCGCACGCGCATGCTCGATCCGGAAGTGTACTTTCACCACGAGCAGCAGCACCAGCACCAGCATCAGCATCAGCATCAACACCAGCATCAACACCCCGGCCATCTGCAGCAGCAGCAGCAGCAGGCGATGGTGGTGGGGGAGGGACCGATGGACCTCGGTCAGGGCCCGCTGCCGGCGCCGGACTACCACTTTGGGACGGCGACGACGACGATGACCTCCGCCTCCGCGGTGGACGACTCGGATTTGGCGGCGATGCAGAGCTGGACGTTCGGGTCTGCCGCGAGCGGAGGAGGAGGAGGAGTAGGAAGTCAGGAGGCGACGACGAGCGAGGACTCGGACAGCGCCGCGAGCGACGGGCTCTTCAGTCGCGGCCGGTTCGGGAGCTTTGCGAGCGAGGCGAGCTGCTCGACGAGCGCGACGTCTGCCGGGAGCGGCGGCGCGGAAGCGGTGAAGATCGAGGCCGAGTTGGATTACGAGAGGAGGCTGTCGACGTGAGTGGTGTTTTTTTGCTGTTGTTTGTTTGGCCCCCTCTGGATATGATATTTGCGCGCGCGCGGTTTTGCTGATGGATTTCCCCCCGAAAATAGGGCGTCGTCGTTCGCGGACGAGTTCCAGACGCTGCAGGTGCAAGGGCAGCAGGAAGGGCCCGGAGGAGGGAGGAGGTACTCGCACGACGCGACGGGGCCGCCGCCGGCTTCTTCTTCTTCTTCTATATTGACCTCCTCGGACGGCTCGCCGAACGCGAACGGAGGAGGAGGCGGCAGGTCGGGGAGCGGGAGCAGCGAGCACACGTGCGCGTACCCGTCGCCGTCGTCGACGGTGTCGGCCGGGCAGAGTCCGCGGGCGCAGAGCGCCGAGGCGGGGGGCGCGGGGGGGTCGAGCGAGCTCGCGCTCGCGTTGTCGGTCGATCAGGTACGTTTTTTTGGCCCATCTCTCTTTCTTCTTGCGTGTCGTCGTCGTCCCCGATTGTCCGGTGCTCACGCGCGTTTTTTTTTCTTTTTCGGTTCTTCGTTCTTCTCTCGCAGGCGCAGATGCGGAGGCCGAGCTTCGACGCGGGCATCGCGCCGGGTACCTCCCCGGGCTCGGGCTCGTCGTCCTCGCCCGACGTCGGCCCCGGACCGATGTACTCTCCTTACGCGCCGCTACGGCACGAGCAGCAGCAGCGGTCGTTGTACGCGCACGCCGCGTCCTCGTCGTCTTCCGTGGACCTCGGCGTCGGCGTCGGCGTGCCGCCGGACTTTGTGGGGGTGCCCTACTTGGACCCGGGCGTGACGCCGAAGGACGCCCGGTTCGCGTTTGAGCAGCAAGGCGATCAGCAGCAGCAGCAGCAGCAGTACGCGCACCAGGGTCTGTATGCGCCGTTTGGCGCGCAGGAAGCGATGGAGTACGCGGCGTCGTACGCGTGATTGTTGTTTTGGTCCGCCTCGGGCCCCCAGCGCCCTTCTCCCTCCCCTCCCTCTCCCTCCCTTTGATACGGACTTTCGGCCTTCCCAACTTCGGACACAAGCCTTGGCGCGCCGCCCACCCGAACTCGCAAACCGTGTAAACAACGCATAACAACACGCGCATATAGCATCTCTCTCGCCTCGACCTCCCGGATTTATCCTTTACCGCTTCCTGGATCATCATCTCTGGCTTTTTTCCGTTGATTATTTGTCACATATCGTCCATCGGGTGTCCGTCCCTTTTCCTTCTTCCTTTCCTTGCTTTCGGTCTCTCGCCAATGTGTTATTATTATCCCCTGAAAAAACTTTGCTTTTTTTCGTCGCGACCTTTTCCTTCCGTTCCACGCGTAACGATACCGGTATCCCTGTGCTCCACCGCCGCCGCCATACTTTACATCAATCCCACCGCCCCAGCGCCCCTTCTCCCCCCCCTGTAATCTGCCCGAACTCGTACCCGGATTCACGCTCACGCTCCTGTCACACGCAAACCACAAACACACCAAACGTACCCACCAACTTCCTCCTCATCGTCCCTGCAAGACCCAATCGCTCGGAAACGCGGACCAAGCCGTTTTCAAACCCGTTTTTGAAAAGATTCGTTCCGGACGTTGTTTTCTTCTTTCCTTTCTCTCCTCGAGTCACTCTTTACTTACTGTACGTGCTTTTTAGTCGAAGTATCTAGAGCTGGGCGTATCTTCCTATTTTTTTTTTGTTTGTCTCCGTCTCGACCCATCTCTCTCTCTCTATCGATATGTCTATCTATCGCTGTACCGGAGAGGGGACGCGTATAACCGCGCGCTCTTTTATTTTTCTCTTTACTTTACAAGGGCGATGAACGTGTAAGATCTGCGAAATAAAAAGCTCATTTGTATCACACCGATATCTTCCGATCCCGTCTCTCCTCGCGCGAAGGTTTTGGAGCGCTCTTCTCGTTGGCCTCGAGGCTGCCTCGTGCCCCCCCAAGTTCGCGAAGTTTACATGGCTGTGAGACAAAGGGACCCCGTTAGTCTACGCATTAAATGCACCGAAACAGGCCCACGGGGGAAGGCGCCACGGGTGATAAGACCGCGCGCCCCGCCCCTTGGGTGTCAGTTCAAAGGTATGAGTATGTAGTGTGTGTGTCCAAGTGGCGCAGGGGCGGCGAAGGAAAAAGAAGGAGAGATAAAATAGAATAGATCTCTCTCTCTCTACTTTGTTCGTACGCGTGAGTCTGGAAGGCCCCTGTTGCCGCACGTGGGCGCCAAATGATACGGGGGAGACACGGGACTCTATATAAATCGTTATTGGTTTAGTGTTTTATTACTCTACCGCGTTTTCGTCCTTTCGTTCCCTTGGGACTCTCCCCCGGGTTAGAGAGAGGATGGGATGGGATGAGATGGGACGGGGATGGATTTGTTTCCCCCCCCCCCCCCCCCCCC